CTTTTGGCTTCCATTGTTAATATTGAGAAATCAGCTGTTAGACGATTATTTTCTGTAGATGACATCATTCTTTTCCTCTGGTTGCTTCTTTAAAACTTATTTATTGGGGCCAGCACTGTGGCATAGTAGGTTATGCCTCTATCTGCAGTGCCAACATCCCATATGGGTGCCAGTTCTAGTCTCGGCTGCTCTTCTTCTGATCCAGCTCTCTGCTTATGGGCTGGGAAAGCAGTGGGGGATGGCCCAAGTGCTTGGGCTCCTGTACCTGTGTGGGAGACCTGGAAGAAGCTCCTGGCTCCTGGCTTTTGATTAGGCTCAGCTCCGGCTCTTGCACCCATTTGGGGAGTGAACCAGTAGATGGAAGACCTTTCTCTCTGTTTCTCCCTCTCTCTGTCTGTAACTCTACCTCTTTAAAAAATTTTTTTAAATCTTTTCAAAAATGTATTTATTTTCATTTTATTTGAAAAGGCATAGAAACAGACAGGATCTTCCATCTGCTGCTTCACTTATTAAATGCCTACAATATACATGGCTGGCCCAGGATAAAGCCAGAAGCCTGGAACTCAATCCAGGTCTCCCATGTGAGTGGCAGTAACCCAACTACTTGAGCTGTCATTGCTACCTTCAAGGGAGCACATTAGCAGGAAGCTAGAATTGGAAGCAGAGCTGGGACGTGGACCCAGGCACCTCAGCATGGGATATGGCTGTCCCAGCTGTCACCCCAGCTGCTACACTAAACGCCTGTCCCTCCTCTGGTTGCTTTTAGCAGCTTGTCTTTGTGGTCTTCATCAGTGTCACTGTGATAGGGGTGTATTATGTTTATTTGTTGTTTAGTCTCCTAGGGATCTGTTGGCTTCCTTAGTCTGAGGATTCTTGCTTTTCCTCATTTTGGAAAATTCGTAGCCATTACTTCTGTGAATATTGCCACTTTCCCTCTCTCTCTTCTGGAATCTGAGTTTGATGTTTACTGGTCTTTCTCACAATCTCTTTTGTCTCTTAATCCATTTTTCATATTTTCTTTTTATCTAATTCTTGACGCTCTCTCATCTGACTTCTAATTCTTCATCCTTTTTTCAGCCATATTTCATCTGCTGTTGAGTTTCTTAATTTCAATTATTATATTTTTTCATTTCTAGAATTCCCACTCAGGTTTCTTTCAAGTAGTTTTAGCACTATCATAAGTCTCTTTTCCTCATTTCTTTGAATGTAGTTGTATATAATACATTCTAGTAATCATTCTAATAATTCTAGTGTTTGAGTTCTTTGTGTTATTTGTTGACCTTGCCCTTGAATGCCTTGTTTCCTATTGTATTTTGTGATTTCTGACTGTGGTTTCTTCCTCCTTAAAATTTTATCGGTAAATGATAAAACTTGGATTGAAGATAGATGTGTAGAGAGCATTTTTGAAAAAGTTTATTTATTTGAAAGTCAGCCTTACAGACAGAGAGGGAGAGACAGAGAGAGATCTGTCATCTGCTGGTTCACTCCCCAAATGGCTGCAATGGCCATGGCTGGGCCAGGCTGAAGCCAGGAGCTTCTTCCTGGTCTCCCACGTGGGTGCAGGGGCCCAGGCACTTGGACCATCTTGCACTGCTGTCCCAGGCACATTAGCAGGGAGCTGGATCAGAAGTGGAGCAGCCATACTTGAACTAACACCCACTCTGGAGGCTGGTGCTGCTGGCAGTGACTTAACCTGCTATGTACAATGCAGGCTCCCTGAGGAGAGCATTTGCATTTCTTTCTACCAGGTGTGGACCAGGAGCACACCCCCTTACTGTTATTAGTATGTGTATGTATATGTATGATTATGTGTGTGTGTCTATTTGATTTATGATTGACATACTATAAAAGTGGTTGTTAGACCATCCCAAGGTATGGGACCATTTTTATTGTACATCCTCAACTGAGAGGCTCAGTCTGCACAGGTGATGTGACTTTGTGCTGCACACCCATATGAAGGCTAGCTTCATGGCTACAGATTTTGAGTGCATTTCTTTTTCCATCTAAAAACCAAGATCGCAGGGTCAGGTTTCCTTGCTCGCCCCTCTGCAGGCAGGTTTGTTTCTCTGTTCCGCACACCCGCAGTGTAGGCCTCTGGGGGTCCAGCTCTACACAGTGGTTTCTTTAGAGACTCTCTCTTTTCTCTCCCATCTGCTGCATCCCAGTGGCCATCAGAACAGAAGTTCAAGGTCACAGATGTTGAGCAAGTGCCCCAGGGCGGCTGCCAGCTTCTGTATTAGCTCACCGCTCTGTTACTAGTCTTGGTTCCTTTTTGGCCTCAGAAGATTGGATCCTTTCCTTCCTTACGAGCTCAGCAATGCATGTAGAAATATTTTTTAAAAAATATTTCAGTCAGCACTTTTAGTTGTTGTTGAGGATAGAGCGGGGTCATGGTCTGCCTGTTGGTTTTTGTTTCTAGCTCCTTTCTCCTCTTCCGTTCACCTTCCAGGGAGCAAGCGTGGCTCAGTGAGAGGCATGGGCTACCTGCAGGCAACCATTCTTTTTCTCTTGGCAGCTTCACGGGGACTCCACGAGCTGTCTGGAGTCTGGGACTTCTACTGCTGTTCCCTGAAGAAGGGAGCATCGGTGCCAGCCCTCAGTGGCCGATCCCGCACTTGTCTGGGGCCCTGAGACAGCTAAGTTCGTTATCTTCACGTTGGAAGCTTGGCGCCTTGGGTTCCGAGTCCCTTTTCCCTCCCTGTAATCGCTTGTTTCTGGCTCCCCTTGACAGTAATGTCTCTCATGGTGCTCAGTTAATTAAGAGGATAGAGAAAGTAGCCTGGGTCCCTGTCGCCTCCTCCCAGTAGGCCAGCTTGCTTGCAGCCCAGGTAGAAAGAACAAAAGGAGCGTGCCCTCTGGGTCACTCTGTCCCCAACCCCAGGGTCTCAAGCCCAACCTGCAGACCACTTCCGGGCTGCCCCTCGGCATCCTGGTTCTAGCTGAGTGTGGGCCTTGCCTGCCCTACACTGGGCCCCAGAGGAGCCCACATGCCTGGGTGGCTGCCTCCCCCCAGGAAGCCTCTGTTAATCGTCAGCTACAGCAAACAGAACAGAAGGCACCAACGCAGTCATTCTCAAAGGATCTGGGGAAGGAAATGGTTCCTTTAGGAAGGCTGGCCAGAGTCTCCTGTAGGAGTTTTCATAATCACCACCAGCCAACCCCAGGGACAGGAGCACTGTGTCGGGTGGGAGTGGCCGAGGGTGGGACAGGTGGAGGACCGCTGACCTGGAAGCCACAGCGAGTGTGGTTGCTAAGCTCTTGACAAAGGTGACTCGTGGGATAATCTCTGGGTTTTAAAGCTTGAATACCAAAAATAGGAAACCAAATAGTCAAATAAATAAATACCCAAAATAAGTATGTCGATATTTTTATACCAATTGCATATTGAAAGGTAGTAATTTGGGATATGTCAAATGAAACAAAATATGCAAATTAATTTCACCTTTTTTAGTTTTGATATCAACCAGCCTTATTTTTTTAATTTTTAATTTTTTAATTTATTTGACAGAGTTAGAGAGAGAAAGGTCTTCCTTCCATTGGTTCACCCTCATAAAATGGCCGCAATGGCCGGAGCTACGCCGATCCGAAGCCAGGAGCCAAGTGCTTTTCCTGGTCTCCCATGTGGGTGCAGGGGCCCAAGCACTTGGGCCATCCTCCACTGCACTCCCGGGCCACAGCAGAGAGCTGGACTGGAAGAGGAGCAACTGGGACTAGAACCTGGCACCCATATGGGATGCCGGCTCCTCAGGTGGAGGATTAACCAAGTGAGCCACAGCGCCAGCCCCTCAACCAGCCTTATTAATAATTTTAATATTAATAATCCGGTGGGTTCTTGCCATCTATTCAGGTAAGAATTCTGAATATTGGCTCAAAACAGACCAGGCTACATGGTAAGTTTTAAGGGTTTTATTTAGTGAAAGAAGTGCACGGGAAAGTGAGGGCTTTAATTAGGGGAGAAAGAGGTCTAGAAGCTAAGTTGGGTCCATACCAGGCAGAGAGCGGGCCAGGAGGCACATGGAGCGAGCGTATGGTCATGAGCGCGGGCAGCGAAGCAAAAGCAGAGATCGAGTCTTGTATATGCTTTCCAAAGAGGCGTGGTTACATGTCTGGGCAGGTGGGTGTTCAGGTGAGATCAGGTAGGGGCATGAGATCACGAAAAGGGGCAGGACGAAGGCGTGGTCTCCAGCTTCCAATCTAATCAATGCGATCCTATCTGCCTGCCTATATCAGTTTCAAAATGTGACCACTAGAAAATTTTGAGTTACTTTTATGGATTGTGTTTCTGGCTCGCCTGATATTTTGGGCCTAAAAGAGAGCTTGTTTGCCACTGTGTGTCAGCCCCACCAGCACATGCTTGCTGTCAGTGTTTAGATACAGACTGCAGGCTCGGCCTGCCTGCTGCCTCAGCTTGTTGGACGCTTTCTTCTCACTGCCTGACCCATCAGGATAGAAGTGACTTCATCCCCACAGCAGTGTCCACAGGCCCTGCCTCTAAGCAGGAGAAATATTCCCATATGGGAAACATACAAGTGGTGTTTTCAAGGAGCCAGGTAAAATCAGCAGGTCACAAGGTCTGTTCATGACCCTTTTTAACTTTTGGTGTTAGAAAACAGCAGGTTTGGGGCTGGCGCTGTGCCATAGTGGATAAAGCCACCGCCTGTAGTGCCTGCATCCCATATGGGTGCCAGTTCTAGTCCTGGCCACTCCATTTCCGATCCAGCTCTCTGCTATGGCCTGGGAAAGCAGTAGAAGATGGCCCAAGTCCTTGGACCCCTGCACCTGCGTGGGAGACCGGGAGGAAGCTCCTGGCTCCTGGCTTCAGATTGGTGCAGCTCTGGCCATTGTAGCCATCTGGGGAGTGAACCAGCGGATGGAAGACCTCTCTCTCTCTCTCTCTCTCTTTCTGCCTCTCCTCTCTCTGTGTAACTCTGCCTTTCAAATAAATAAATCTAAAATAAAAGAAAGCAGGTTCTCACCCGTGCATTTTCTTACCGTTGCAGCGGCTGTAAGGCACCCCTGGGCAGAGAGTAGTGCTGAACCCCGCGTAGGAAACCTCACTTCTTACCGCCATCCAGAGGACTTTGCAACAGTGGGCCAGGCTCCCAGGAAGAGCCATGCAGCACCTTCAGGGGCTCCGGAAAGCCCCACTCTTCTAACTGAAGCAGCGGATGCCGGGGGAAGGCGCCACTCCTCCGGGGGGACAGATTTCCCCGTTTCTCCTGCTGGGCACCCGCCTGACACAGCAACAGCTCTGACTTCCCAGGGCAGCACCTCCGGTGAGTCTGTGCTGGCGGACACTCACTTCATTCACCTGTGTCCAGTCCTGGACAGCAGATGGCCGCCACCTGCCACCACCGTTGCACCCATCCAGGGCCCCTGGGCTGGGGTGGAGCAGACCTGTGACTCAGGGCCCTGTCTGGGATGCTTTGAAGTGCAGGACGGGGAGTGGGGCAGATTTGTTGAATAGGCTGGCCGATCCCATGGCATCCCTATTCCATGGCCGGCCTGGATCCCAACCTCACCCCTCCTCCAGGGACCCTGCCGCACATTCCGCTCTCGGAGGCACAGGTGTGGTGGGATGTGTGGCTGGGAGTGACAGCCAGGCTGTCTTTGTGTTGATGTGGGTTTCGTTTCTGATGATGTGGCTCAAATGGTTGGTTGTGATCCAGTCTATACAGCTTGGCCGGCTGCTATTTTTCGCTAAAGATTTCAAGAAGGGGCTGGGGTACAAGGAAAGCGAGCGCTGATTAGGTACCTGCTACATACCTGATGCGCCTGTTCTCTCAGTCCTTACAGCCGGCCAGTGAGGTCATGTTATTCTCATTTTAGGAATGTGAAAGCTGAAGTTTGGAGAAGTTAATTAACCCCAGCTGTGTAGGTCAAACGGTTTCAGAGCTGGAACTGGAGCCCGCGTCTGGGTATCTGAGGGAGGTGGGGTGGGATGCCGAGACAGCGTGAGTGAAGGCACAGAGCAAGACAAGGGTGAGCCCCTGGTGGGGCAGCAAGGCCAGCGCAGCCTCCCGGGGGGAGGCCTAGGTTGTGCTCAGAGCAGCGGGTAGGACAGCGGTGTGACGGGAGTAGGGATGATCAGGGAGGACTTGGCATACCCGGCGCTTGATCTCCGTGTGCTCGGAGGAGTCACTGCGGGTTTTGAACAGGAACTGACATGATGCACTTGAAGCTGGGGGGAGTCAGCTGCAGGGCATGTGAGGGTGGGAAGATGAAGAGAACCTGGAGGCAGGGGGACCCCCAGGCTGCTGCTGCCCTGGTGGCCACGGCGGGGAAGGGGAAGGGCCAGGTAGACTCGGAGAGGAGAGCTGCTGGGTGAGGGCCCGAGGTAGAAGGGGAAGCCATCCAAAGCAGCTCTGGCTTCACGCCCTGAGCACTGGAGGCCCGCTTGTGGGGCTCAGGTCAGCAGGGGAAGCGCCCGGCACGACCCCACGTTCATCTGCAGATGCGGCAGCAGAGCTCGGAAAGTGCATGCGGCGCCACCTGGCTTTGTTGTCCAGCCACAGAGTGGGCGTCTTGTTTGTGTCCAGTTCAGGTGCAGTCCGAGGCCAGCTTTGCGGAATGTGGAAGAGGAGTTGTGACGATCAGGCACCAGCCTGCGATTCCATATCATTCTGTGCTTAGCTTCAGCCCGCCCCTTCACTGATAATTGTACCCCAAAATGCACATTCTTTGTGAGATAAAAAAAAAGTCTTTGGCATGGTTTGTGGTCTTTCTTTAGGGGCTCATTTTTCATAAACGAAGAATCACTCCTATTTTCTTGTCCTGGATGCAAGCAAAGATCAGAAAGTTGTGGAAAATATGGTAAAAGATAAGTTTGTGTTGGTGCAAAATTTACTGAGCTCCTTGCATAGTTTTTTTTTATAAAATGCATTTTTCACAAACTTTTTGAGGACCCTCTAGGCATGGATTTCAAATTTTTACACCAAAATAAGCTTAACCTAAACTCATCTTTTTAATCCCACTCCCCAAGAACTGTCTGGAGCACCCTCATAGTCTAACCGAGTCAGAGCTGAGCCCCCTGGAGGTTACTAGGACACCGGGAGGTCAGCGGGTGGAAGTGTAACCGCTGCTGTCTGTTTTCAGCCTGGGAGGGGCCTCCCCTGCCAGCCAGCAGCCCAGGGTTGGCAGCAAGCCCTGCCCCTTCTCGCGTGGAACACGGAACATCGGAGGGCCCACGGGAGACGGGGAGGCGGCTCCCAGAAGCAGCGACTGCGCACACCCAAGTGGCCGCCTCAGGGGTTCCCAGCCAGTCCTCTCTTCCTGCTACGGAGACGGGAGAGTCCACCACACTGTCCAGGAAGAGCAGTTCCTCGGGCACGGGGCTCTCACTTTTCTCCAGGACGCCGGCTTCCTCTCCTCCCTCACACCTGTCCTCACGTGAGTACTCCTGTCCCTTGTCCCCACTCCAGCGTCTTCAAAAGACACAGAAACTGATGGGGCGCGCTGCGGCTCACTGGGCTAATCCTCCTCCTGCGGCGCCGGTACCCCAGGTTCTCGTCCTGGTCGGGGTGCTGGATTCTATCCTGGTTGCTCCTCTTCCAGTCCAATCTCTGCTGTGGCCCAGGAGGGCAGTGGAGGATGGCTCAAGTGCTTGGGCCCTGCACCCACATGGGAGACAAGGAGGAAGCACCCGGCTCCTGGCTTCGGATCAGCGCAGTGCACCGGCTGCAGCAGCCATTGAGGGGTGAACCAACGGAAAAGGAAGACCTTTCTCTCTCTCTTTCTCTTACTGTCCACTCTGCCTGTCAAAAAAAAAAAAAAAAAAAAAGAAAAAAAGAAAAAAGAAAAAAAAAGAAACATGGGCCAAGGAGAAAGGACATCAAGGAAAAATTCATTTCCTCCAGTGCTGAGTGTTTGGAGTAGAATACAGCAGACACAGTTTACCTCGGTGTTAACATTCTTGTTTAGGTGCTGGCATTGTGGTGCAGTGGGTTAAGCTGCCGCCTGCAACAGCAGCATCCTATATGGGTGCTGGTTCATGTCCCGGCTACTCCTCTTTTGGTCCTGCTTCCTGCTTCTGGCCTGGGAAAGCAGTGGCAGATGACCCAAATACCTGGGCTGCTGCACCCACATGAGAGACCCAGATGAAGCTCCTGGCTCTAGCCTGGCCCACCCTTGGCCCCTGTAGCCATCTGGGGACTGAACTAGCAGATGGAAGATCTCTCTCTGTCTCTTTGTCTCTCCATCTCTCTCTGTATCTCTGCCTTTCAATTAATCTTTTAAAAAAAGAATTCATGTTTAAAATTTGTTTTACCTGTATAAGGAGAAAAATAATGGTGGGTCTGGTGGCTAAGCTAGGCCTTTCTGCTCGCCACCTCCTGCGTCTCCCCCCTTCCCATACACACAACAAAGACTCAGTGTTGCTGTGTCTTCTTATATAAGAGGCCATGCGCTAGGGTGCGTGAAATAGTGAGCATTGTGCCATTTGATGAGGAGTTAGATTTTTATTCATTCGTTATTGTAAACATGTTTCTCTCAATGGCAAGGAAAATACAGGTAAGATTTTTCCAGGCACTTGGTTGAAAGAGTACGCTCCCCTCTCCCTGCCGTTTCTGTTCCTGCTCATCGGTATCACCTCTGCTCGGGGATCCACTTACCTGAGCCTTTCTCAACCCTCTGTCCTCCGTGCTGTATCCCTTGTCATGCCAGGTCACTGCCTGTCGGCCCAGAGACGCTGTAAACCTCTTCAGGACACAGCTGTGCCTGAACTTCTGTTAGGTTCCCTGCTGCCCCAGACCAGAGTCGGCAGGAAGTGGAGACCAGGAGCCCATGCCATGTATAGCAGGTTAATCCACTCCCTGCGATGCTGGCATCCCATATGGGAGCCAGTTGGAGTCCTGGCTGCTCCATCTCTGATCTAGCTCCCTGCTAATGTGCCTGGGAAAGCAGTTCTGGAAGAGGGAACAACACAAGTGCTTGGGCCTCTGTGTACAAGCGAGGGATGGATGAAGTTCCTGGCTTTTGACTTTGGCCTGGCCCAACTCTGGTCATCATGGCCATCTGGGAAGTGAACCAGCAGATTGGTCTCTCTCTTTCTCTCTCTGTTACTGCCTTTCAAAAAATAAATCTTAAAAAAAAAAAAAAAAAAAAAAAAAAAAAGAAGAAGAAGAAGAAGAAGAAAAGAAATGGAGTCCAGCACGTGCCTAAACCCCTTCACAGGGCCCATCCCACCATGGGCCAAAGAGAATGTTGGCACCCCTGCCTGTCTTTTCTCTCTGAGTTTGTTTTCACAGTCTGCGTGTGCTGCCCGTGTTTTTATCCTCAAGCTGTAGGGAGAAAGATTGAGAAGGGCAGAAATATTCTTGGGAAATAGAGGTTAGATTTCTGCAGCAATTGCCATTTGAGAGATTTTATAGGTCAGGGGTTTTTAGAAGTACTTCGCAAGACTAGGAGTTTAGGTTTATGTCATCAAAGTGAAGGCTGAAGCCAGAGGGCCTTTCTGTAAGGCCTATTTAAAGCAACCATTCCTCTTCCATACTCTGTACAGTCTTCTGCTGACGGGGTATTATTATGATTCACGTTTTTAGGAGATTGCCTTTTAAGATCATTCATAAATATTGGTTGAGCTGGGTACAAGCTATGAACCCTGCCGGCCTCCAGGTTCTGAGGCTCAGTGATTTACAAGCAGCTTCACTAAATGGTAGAAAGGAAGCATTTTCTGTGAAGCTGCACGTGGAGTCTGACCAGGGTCGCTGAACGTTTGTGGCTTACGTCAGCCACTGCCAATGGACATTTGAAAGCCAACATGTCCAGCTGTACTAGGCTTGACCCTGTGGTCACCTGCACTTTTCTTTTTTAAATCTATTTACTTGAAAGGTAGAGTTACAGATAGAGAGAGGGAGAGACAGAGAGAAAGGTCTTCTCTCTACTGGTTCACTCCCCAAATGGCCACAATGCTTGTAGCTGGGCTGATCTGAAGCCAGGAGCCAGGGCCTTTTTCCGGGTCTCCCACATGGGTGCAGGGGCCCAAGCACTAGGGCCATCATCTATTGCTTTCCCAAATGCATTAGCAGGGAGCTGGATTGGAAGAGGAGCATCTGGGATGCGAACCAGCTTCCAAATGGTATGCCAGTGCCATGGTCGGAGGCTTAACCCACTATACCACAGCGTCAGCCCCTGTACTTTTCAACACGAAAAAATATATATAAATAATTGGCCCTAAAAATTCTTTGAGCTTTTGTCCTTCGTAGAAGCTTATACTTTGAATGTTGGGAGACTTCCACCAAGCATTTCCCCTTTTGTGAACTGGGCATTCTGTTCTAGGTAAAGTCCCACCCCACTTTTAGAGATTAGAGAGGGTATTGGGTGCTGTTAAGCTGGTGTATCCCCTGGCATCTAGGAATGTCTGAATCGGCCTGCCAGCCCCTCTTCTTCCCTTGAGAATGTTGAGGACACATGTACAAGGGCCTAAAACCAAATGAGAAACAAAATGCTGCCTTATTTTTAAAGCTGGGTTAGCACCTGCTAACCCAGCAGAGCTCTGGATTCCTCCTACCCCGACCTTGAACGGAAATCTTGGGATTTGATTGCCCCTTTCTGATGACACGAAGCAGGAGCTGTAGGCCCTCGGGCGGGAATGCTGAAGAAGAGCCAGCAGGACCTGCCAAGGTGGACCCCGAGTCGGCCCTGCCTGGCTGGCCAGCTCCGTAAACATTCACACATGAAGAGGGAGGGCAGTGAGCCTGGCGCCTTTCGACCCTTGGCTCCTCCATCCACCAGTGAGTGTGACCAGTGGGAAGCCCGGCACTTAGACCCATCCAGTTAGTGATGTTCCCACTAGGTGAGCAGTAGGATGCTGAGCCAAGAGGCTGGCACGGGGAGGATGTGGCTCCTTATGGGAAACCTAGAGGGATTAGACCAGGTGATCTGAAAGATTATTTCTGGTTTCCACATTGGTTGTTTTACACACATTCAGCCTCTATATTCTCTGCCTCCTCTCACTCCTCACTCGGCTACACAGAAACACGCACGCACACCAACCTCTTCCGAGGCTGCGATAGCCAGGAGCTACCTGCTTCCGGAAGTAAACTGAATGCTTGACACTAATAAAGTAGGTATAGGTCCAGGTGACAACATCAAATTTAAATTTTTTCTTTAAATTTTTTAAAATATTTATTTATTTATTTGAAAGGCAGAGTTACAGTGAAACAGAGGGAGAGAAAGACGTCTTCCATCCGCTGGTTCACTCTCCAAATGGCTGCAATGGCCAGAGCTGCGCCAATCTGAAGCCAGGAGCCGGGAGGTTCTTCCGGGTCTCCCACATGGGTACAGGCACCCAAGGACTTCGACCATCTCCTACTGCCTTTTCCAGGCCATAGCAGAGAGCTGGATTGGAAGTGGAGCAGCCAGGACCCAAACAGGTGCCCATATAGGATGCTGGCACTGCAAGTGGTGGCTTTACCTGCTGTACCACAGTGCTGGCCCCTTTTCTTTAAATTTTATTTGAGAGAGAGAGAGAGAGAGAGAGAACTCCCATCCTCCAGTTCACTGCCCAAGTGCCCACAACAGCCAAGGCTGGGCTGGGCCAGAGCCAGGAGCCAGGAATCTAATCCAAGTCTCCCAGGTGGGTGGCAGGAACCAATGGCTGGAGCCATCACTGATGCCTTGCAGGATCTGCATCGCAGGAAGCTGCAGTCAGGAACCAAAGCTGGGCATTGCACTCGGGCTCTGATACGGGACACAGCCTTCTGATCAGCTAGGCAAATGCCCAGTCCCAAAAGCTAATTTTAACAAAAGAGATCAGAACCCATTGGAGGTCATTTCTCTTGCTGCTTACATCTTTTGCTGCTTTATATCATTCTATAATTTCCGTGTTTTTTATAATGGTCAGGTATGTCCTGTTTGATCATCGGGAGAAAAGTAACAACACAACACACAGGGAAAAACAGCTCTCTTTTCAAAGCAGAAAGAGAAATGGGAACGTTGAATTGTGTGACAGGGGCTACAGTTGAGCACTAAATTTAGTACTGAGCTTCCTGGAAACCAGGGCACAAAGAGAAACCGGATGGGGCATGTGATGATCGTTAGATAAGGTAAGCACACAGTTTTATCCATAGACATAAGTGTTTTCAGGGCAGTTAATGCTAAGGAGAATAGTTATATAAAGAATGTTGAGGATCATAATGGAAAATGCCTTCAATAGCTGCTTGTGTCCACTGTGGTAATGTTCTTTTAAAAGGTAACGTGGTTGTATAGATTCTCAGTAGGAGCTGAGGGCCTAATAATGGATCTCAACTTAGGAAAAGTATTTCTGTGGGTAGCAGAGCTGATGTGGTCCAGCTAAATTGCTTTGTGGTGATTTTACTTTGTAAAGGCAGAGAGCCTACATCACTCAGAAGATCGTGGGTTTACACATCTTTCTCAGACGTCAGCCACCTCGGCTGTACTTTTGTCAAGTTCTGGATAGCAGGCGAGTCAAGGCTGAGCGTTCTGATGCATGCCAAGGGGCCAACATTTTGTGCCATGATTGGAACGACCCACTGGGTGGGCATTTTTCCCACCTCCTGGTGTAGAGAGGAACTTGGCTTGTTTCTGTTCCCAGATGGATGATCTTCCCATTTTTGAATGTCTGCTTGAGGGGAAGAAAGGAGTGAGGAAGCACACTTATTAAATAATCAATAATGCTGGGCTGTGAATTAGGCCCATGATTGATTTCCTTGTAGGTTTATTTAGCAGGTGCTGCTCCTTTAGAGCTAGCTATAAGCGGTGACTGTAGGTTAGTTTGACCAAACGTTCCCTCCTTCTATTAAGAGGTACTAACTCCAAAGAAGTATTTACACACATTTCATAGCTTCACTGTGAGAGTTAAATGAGACTAGTGTGCATACAACTTAGCACAGTGCCTGGCACATAGCTGGTCAGGAATTGGAGCTTTTATGTTGAGGGCAACAGTGAGATGAGGAAGCGTTGTCCTTCGGAGCCCTCAGGGCCAGGGGAACACAGCCACTGTCCTGGCTTTCAGCATTTATGACTCCTGTGATTGTGTTCCTGTGGCCACTGATTTGCCACATCCACTGTGAGTGGACAGGCCTGGGTTACTGAGTTCTGAATCGGCTGTAATTGTCTCTAGTTTGAAGGGAAGATTGAATAGTTGAAACCATACAGTTTACTGGGGATGAAAGTGTTTTGAAAGAGTATCCAGCAATTTGTTGAGATTATAATTTTGTGGATATAGATGACGGCTCTAATAAAGTTAGATCTGAGAAGCTAAGTGTTTGGGTGAGGATTTAGGGACATATCTATATTATCCTTCCTTTAAAAAAAAAAACTTGTCTTTTTATTCCATTTTCCCATGACCTTTTTAAAAAAATTATTTTCTGGGGCTGTGGCTGTGGCATAGTGGGTAAAACAGCTGCCTGCAGCACTAGCATCCCATATAGGCTCTGGTTCAAGTCCCAGCTACTCCATTTCCAATCCAGCTCCCTGCTGGAAAGCAGTAGAAGATGGCCCAAGTACTTGGGCCCCTAGACCCACATGAAGACCCAGAGGAAGCTCCTGGCTCCTGGCTTTGGATCAGCCCAGCTTCAGCCTTTGTAGCCATTTGGGGAGTGAACCAGCAGATCGAAGATCTCTTTCACTGTCTGTCTCTGTCTCTGTCTCTCTCTCAAGACTGCCTTTCAAATAATAAATAAATCTTTTAAAAAATTATTTACTTATTTATTTGAAAGACACAAAGAGTGCAAGAGAGATCTTCCATATATGAGTTTACTCCTGCAACAGCTGGGGCTGGTCCAGGCCAAAACCAGGAACTCAACCCAGGTCTCCTATGTGGGTGGCAGGGACCCAAGTACTTAAGCCATTAAGCCATTATCTGCTGCCTTCCCAGGGTGTGCGTTAGCAGGAAGCTGGTTCTGAAGCATGTGCAGGACCCTACCGCAGGTGATATGGGATGGGGGGCACCCCTTCACACACCAAGCTCCCTGCTTCACCCACTGCACCACCATGCCTGTCCCTGCAAGTGTTTCTTGTTTGTTTTTAAGTAAAGGTGGATCAGGATAAGTCGGGTTCTGTTTTTGTGTCCAGGTCTTTCTATCCCTTTGTTTCAGTTACTAGCTTTACAGATTGCCTGCATCTTTTTTTTTTTTCCAGTAAAGTTCATCAGCTAGATCCCTGTGTTCTAGGTCCAGCCGGTTCCATGGCATCATAGGAGAACCTTTTGTTTCCTGTGTGTGCACTCCTTCTGTCTAAAATTTACCTGTGCTTTTTGCCACAGATGCACATGGGATTGGTTTCTGAAGAACTGTTCATAATAACAACTTCCTTTTTCCCTTTTCTGGGTCATAATTAACAGCTTGAATCTTTCCATTATGTAGATATACTTTTTATTGTTTTTAACTTAAAAAGAAAAAATATAGCACGCTCTTTTCTTGCCTTTGTTTTTTCCCTGCTCACCAAGCTTTCCCACTCTCTGTTCCTTTTTTTTTTTTTTTTTTGGACAGGCAGAGTGGACAGTGAGAGAGAGAGACAGAGAGAAAGGTCTTCCTTTTGCCGTTGGTTCACCCTCCAATGGCCGCCGTGGCCGGCGCACCGCGCTGATCCGATGGCAGGAGCCAGGAGCCAGGTGCTTTTCCTGGTCTCCCATGGGGTGCAGGGCCCAAGCACTTGGGCCATCCTCCACTGCACTCCCTGGCCACAGCAGAGAGCTGGCCTGGAAGAGGGGCAACCGGGACAGAATCCGGCGCCCCGACCGGAACTAGAACCCGGTGTGCCGGCGCCGCAAGGTGGAGGATTAGCCTAGTGAGCCACGGCGCCGGCTTTCTGTTCCTTTTTGTAATGAGGGTTTTAACGTACCCTTCTGAAGGCCACTTTTCAGGGTATCCTTTGAAACTTCTTTGTGGAAGGGAGACATGAGCAAGGCCCTGTACTTGTGCATAGCCGAAGATGCCTTTTGACCAGTGGTATGTAATTTAATTCTCAGGGTTCTTGGACAATTATCCAATGGCTGCCAACATGGTCAGAAAAAACAGTCCCCAGCCTGGAGCCCTTCATCTCCAAGGGGCCTATTGGAGGCACATAGGTTTGAGAGCTGGTCCCTAAAACTTGATTAGGCTAACCACAATAATGAAGCCTGCTTGCTTTTGGATGGAATTAAAGCCAGTTCTTGGGGATAATAATGAGTATCTCCTGCTGGCTAGAAGGTGTGTTACTTAGTAAATTGCAGTTTGGTTAGTGGTCTTTCAAAGCACAGGGTTGACGGTGGCCATGAGGTGAGGAACAATAAAAGCTCTTGATGGGGACAAGGCTGGGAATTATTGTTCGAGGCCAGCAGTGCCCCAGCTGTGTTCTGCAGAACCCTAGGCCCCCTCAGTGGGCCAAGCACTTTACAGTGGCCTCATGGTAACTCATTTTATGCATAGGTTTTCTATTTTATGTATTTGAAAGACAGAATTACAGAGAGAGGTAGAGACAGAGAGAGGTCTTCCATTCGTTGGTTCACTCCCCAGATGGCTGCAAAGGATGGAGCTGAGCTGATCCGAAACCAGGAGCCAGGAGCTTCTTTCAGGTCTCCCAAACGGGTGCAGGGGCCCAAGGACTTGGGCCATCCTCCACTGCTTTCCCAGGCCTTAGCAGAAAGCTGAATCAGAAGAGGAGCAGCCAGGACTAGAACTGGCGGCCATATGGGATGAGGGCATGTCAGGCCAGGGCTTTGACCCGCTGTGCCACAGCGCCAGCCCCTATGTATAGGTTTTTAAATCTATAGCACTAGAATAAAAGGGTTACATGGCTAAAACAAAATCAAAATGGCAAAAACCTTACCACAGTGGCTGTCCTCAAGCAGTAATGTGGGCTTCAGAAGTTCTCATCTTTCTCTTCCATCGCACTGCACCACACTTGTGTCCTCCTGTCTCCCTTTGAATTTGCGTAGATGCTTTTCCTTGTGCCCTCTCCGTGTCCCTATTCAGCTGTGAGAAGTAGAGCTGATGAGAACAGAGTAATGCGCTGTGTCCTGGCTGCACGTGTGTATGGAAACAGAGTTCATGGATTGCATGGATTTCATAGCTTTTTTTGTACCAGAATAAACCAACCTTTTAATCCCATTTTCCAATGAACTTTTTTGAAGTGCCCTAGTACACAAATGTTTCTATCTATATTAGGCCCATAGAATTCACATGTTTTTAACCAACCTGTAATAAGCATGGTTTGTACCTAGGCCAGTCCCCAGTTTTCTAATCCCTCCTGAGTGGTTCTGAGGCCTCTTTTCTTCTGTTTCAGTTTCTGGAAGCACAGAGGAGCTTACGAACTCCACTGCCCTGCAGAGCCCTGTGGTTAGTCAGACAAAGCGTGCACATGCCGCTGCCTCCACCCTCTCTGACGGCGCCTCAAGGATGCTCCGGTCCTTAGCAGTGAGTCTGCGACCTGTGAATGAGACAGAAGGTTTCCCTGAGGACTCCAAAGCCGCCACGACTTCAGCTGCCGTCCATGCTTCACCGTCTGTGGAGCAATCGAGAGGGAACGGCAGCATAACCAGGACTCCAGGGGATGCAGGATTCACTGAGCCAGCCACAGAGAATGAATTTGGACACACATCTTTACACTGGCAGAATGACTCCCCAAGTAAGCATTCCACCTTTCTTGATCTATAAAGGATGTTATTTGTTCACTTGTTTGTTTTATTTGAGAGGCAGAGTTACAGATAGAGAGGTCTTCCATCTGCTGGCTCACTCCCCAAGTGCCCACAACAGCTGGAGCTGCGCCAATCCGAAGCCAGGAGCCAGGAGCTTCCTCCAGGTCTCCCATGTGAGTGCAGGGGCCCAAGCACGTGGGCCATCTTCCACTGCCTTCAGAAGTAGATCAGCCGGGACTTGAACCAGTGCCCATGTGGGATGCTGGCACCGCAGGCAAAGGCTTAACCTACTGTGCCACAGCACAGGCTGCACATCAGGAACATTTTTAACTAGTTGCATTTTCTTAGGACTCTTCAGGCCCTTTAGCAATTTCCAAAGCAAAGTGTATTCTTTGGTGACACCAGCTCCTTTATGTGGATAACTGCATTATTGCATTGTGATTTTCCTCCTTATGAGACATTGTGAAGTTAATCAGACAGGTGTCATTCCTAGTGCTTTATAGATATAAGGACACCAAGACCCAGAGTGTTTTTTTTTTTTTAAGATTTATTTATTTATTTGAGAGGTAGAATTACAGACAGAGAGAGGGAGAGACAGAGAGAAAGGTCTTCCATCCACTGGTTTACTCCCCAGATGGCCTCAACGGCTGCAGCTGGGCCTATCCGAAGTCGGGAGCCAGGAGCTTCCTCCCGGCCTCCCACATGGGTGCAGGGGCCCAAGTGCTTGGGTCATCCTCCACTGCTTTCCCAGGCCACAGCAGGGAACTGTATTGGAAGAGCAGCAGTTGGGACTTGAACCAGTGCCCATATGGGACGCTGGCACTGCGTGTGGCGGCTTTATCCACTCTGCCACAGCGCCGGCCCTGACTCACAGGTTTTAAGTAACATGTGCACTCCTTTTAGCTCTCAGCACGGTTGAGACTTTAGACTCCCGAGGTTGGTTCCATCTTCTTGTCACTCTTTAGCATTTTCTTTGAATGAGAGCTGGCCTGCTCTTTAAAATTAACTCCAATTACTCTGTGTTCAGATCATCTTTACAAATAATTGTGCAGATATAAATACAGTTTACAGATTCATGGTTGGATTTTTTTTTTTTTTTTTGCTTTACTTTGGAATTAGAGTAATCCTTGTTAATATTAGAGCTGTTTTAGAAAAGTGCTCTGACTGTGTTGTATATGTAAGCAGTTGTCTTGGCTGGACATGCCACTACTCCCTTGTCCACTTGTGGGAAAGAAAAAATCCTCAAGTCTGTGATTACTCTGCTACACGTGTGTGCCATTCAGAAGTGCCCCTGCTCGCGAGCTTTTGTTGTTAGTATTGCTATCTGGCTGACAGCTAAGAGTCCTGACATAATTACTCAAAGTATGACAGTGCCTGTCGTGTTTGCATGTAATCAACACGAGGTTCCTGGACACGGGAGCCTTCCCTTAGGGAGGACTCGCTTCCCAGCTGTAGGGAGAGCTCTTTCATATCCACGTAATGGCGCCTTCCCTGTGAACCTTCCAGCTTCTGCAGAACGGCAGCTTGCCAGCAGCCCTGAGCTCCGGAATGGAAGCTCCACCTCCACATCGCGGACTGGGGCTGTTTCCAGGTCTTCCCTCAGGGGTGCAGAGAGCACCGCACGCTGGTTCCTGGCCCACAGCAGGACATCTGCAGGTGTGACAAGAAGTTCTGCTTCATTTCCTGGAACCGTGAACACTTCGGTTTCGACCCAGTTCTCGGACTCCGCTCCATGGTCTGGAAGAAGCAGCACCGTTCTGGGCGATACAAGTTTCTCGGAGTCTCCGTCTACGTCTTCGTCGGAAAGCCTGAACTCCTCGGCACCACGTGGAGAACGTTCAAGTGAGTTTCATTGCACAGACCTCTACACGGAGGGGACAGGGACTTAATGATGCTTGCGATCTCCTATAGCACATTAAGGCTTCACGGTAATGAAATACTCCTTAAACGCCCCTGGTTTCATTATTCTCAAGCCATTTTTCTACCTGCTTGTCTCAGATCTGCTTGTATATCCTCGGGCTTTTTCTGGCGTATCTCAAGAAGCTGTTGCTGTTGCCTCCTCTTCCCGTACACAGTTCAGAACTTCTCTCTCTGTATCCTCCCATTCCTTATAGCCCACTCCAAACCCCAGTCCTGCCTCCATCTCAAAACTTCTGGAAGGTGAAAACATCACCTCTTTAGCGGCTGTTCACTCTAGGTCTGTGCATTCGTCAAAAGAAATCTGCCCCCCTTGAAAAAACACAGGCTTTTTGAGATATAATTAACATTCCATATAATTTGCCTATTTAAACGGAACAATTCAGTGGTTTTTACTATATTCACAAAGTTGTGCAACCAGCACGACTGTCTGGTTCCAGAACGTTTTCATCCCCCAAAACCAACTCCGTACTCAGCAGCAGTCACTGCCATTCTGCCCTACGTCAGCCCCGGCAGCCACCCGGTTCACTTCCTGCCTCTGGGTCTGCCTGCCTAGATGTTGTCTGTAAATGAAATCATACGCGACCTTTTGTGTCTCTCACTTAACAGGTTTTCAAGGTTCATACGCGTGCAGGGATGTATTAGGACCTCATTCTTTTATATGTATCTGAAAAATATTCCATTGTACGGATTTCTGATGTTTTGTTTATTCTTTCATTAGTCAATGGATGTCTGTGTTGTTCCTGACGTTTGTCTGTTATGAATTATGTGGCTGTGAGCAATCAGGTTCAAGTTTTTGAAAGTATTAATTAATTTATTTTATTTGTTTCAAAGAAGGAAATAGAGAGCTCTTTCATCCACTGATTCACTCCCCAAATAGCTGCAATGGTCAGAGCAGGGCTGATCCATAGCCAGGAGCCAGGAGCTTCTTCCAGGTCTCCCATGTGGGTGCAGGGGCCCAAGGACTTGGTCCATCTTCCACTGCTTTCCCAGGAACATTAGCAGGGACCTGGACTGGGAATGAAGGAGCTGGGACTTGAACCAGCGCCCATATGGGATACCAGCATTACAGGTGGAGGCTTAACCCACTATACCACAGTGCTGGCCCCTAGCTTCAAGTTTTTTTTTTTTTTTTTCTTTTTAAAATTTATATAAATGGCATTTCATGGCAGGTAGCATTTTTTTTAAAGATTTATTTATATGAAAGTCACAGTTACACAGAAAGAGGAGAGAGAGAGAGAGAGAGAGAGTCTTCCATCCGTTGGTTCACTCCCCAGCTGGCTGCAACAGCCAGAGCTGTGGCGATCCGAAGCCAGGAGCCAGGAGCTTCTTCTAGGTCTCCCATGCGGGTGCAAAGGCCCAAGAACTTGAGCCATCTTCTGCTGCTTTCTCAGGCCATAGCAGAGAGCTGGATCAGAAGAGGAACAGCTGGGTTTTGAACCGGTGCCCATATGGGATGCCGGTGCTTCAGGCCAAGGTGTTAACCTGCTGCACCACAGTGCTGGCCCCAAGTTGTAAGAGTTCTTTATATATTCTGTATACTAGACCTTTATGAGATATATAATTTGCATACATTTCTTTATTTTGTGGGTTATCTTTCCACTTTCTTCTTCTTCTTTTTTTTTTTTTAAAGATTTATTCATTTATTTGAAAGGCAGAGTTAGAGAGAGGCAGAGACAGACAGAGAGAGAGAGGTCTTCCATCCTCTGGTTCATTCCCCACATGGCCACATTGGCTGGAGCTGTCAATCTGAAGCCAGAACCCAGGAGCTTCTTCTGGGTCTCCCATGCGGGTGTAGGGGCCCTCCATGCGGGTGCAGGGGCCCAAGCACTTGGGCCATCTTCTACTGCTTTTGCAGGCCATAGCAGAGAGCTCAATCAGAAGTGGAACAGCCGGGACTCGAACTGGCGCCATTTGGAGATGCCAGCATTGCAGGTGGCAGCTTTACCCACTACACCACAGCACTGGTCACTTTCTTAATGGTATCATTTACAACACAAAAGTTTTTGATTTTGATTAAGTATAATTATCAACTTGACAAAACTTTTGATTCTCTTTTTTAATGCTTTTGGTTATTTTTAAAAACAATTCTCAGAATTCTTATCAACGTAAAATGCATGTTGACAACAGCAAAAGGACATTAACTTAGCCTTTCAGCTCTCACAAGGTTTACATTCTTAGCCGGCTATCCCTAACAGCAGTTCCATAGCCCCCATGTGAGAATCCTAACTGATGAGGAGAATTAGCGCTTGCCACTACTCAGGTGAGGTGACAAAGCATACACTGCTGGTCACGCACGTGGGTAGAGGATACTTAACTCTTTTATGTCTGTGCGTGGAAAACACATTATCTAGCTCCTAAACAAAAGGAATCCTTTCCCACCCTCCCCCACTGTGAAGAGTTTTTCCCTCTTAAACCAGGATCTTAGGTTCTGAAGTCTTTCTCTTTTTTGTCTTTTCAGCATCCCTCCTGTTTGCAGTTAATGCTCAATTGGTTCATGTGGAAAATGGGATTTCAGTGTGACAGGATCTCGGGGTTCAATTATACAGAGCTAGGTAAAGAGTAGCCTGGCCCTAAAATCGTCTCGCTGCGGGTTATTATCTTGTTTCCTCTCAGTCACCCAAAGCTGACTGAGCAACCCAGCTTTTGGAGTTCCCTGGTCTGTTGGTCTGTTGCTTTTTTTTTTTTTTTTTTCTGGGTTCAGATTCAGTCCCTTTGTTATGGATCACGACTCTCCACTTGGTTAAGCCTCAACCCTGATGTGGCCCTTGGCCTAAATCTCCTTTAACAGAGCATTTAAGGTCTCTCTGTCCAAGGCTCTTTTTCTTCTTTGCCCTGAGAACTTTGCTCCAACGCACCTTGCTGCTGAATCCCGCCATAGCTGTCTGAACTCCTCAGCTAGGCTCAACTCAACATCTGTCTGGCGCTGCCTTGGTCACTGTGTGTCCTGTCCCCCTGGGCATTCTGGCCTCTGAGCTAATTCAAACCTGTAGGGACAAGAATTGACCCAGCAGTCACTTTACATGTTGCTTTCATCAAAGGGTGTCTGTGGGATATCAAGTGCCAGTCTGGGCTGGGAACAGGAATAAGAATTAGGAAAAGAGCCAGATTATGAAGTATTCAGGCCAAGATGAATTAGACTTCGCCCTCATAATTTCTGAAAAGAAGAGTTTATTTGAGAATCTACTAATCTTCATAACATAAAGCATATACCCCCCCAAAGGAGGAAAAGGATATTTATACACTGTCACCATCCCAATTCCATCCCCATCAATAATGTATCTGAAAAATTAAAACAGAAAACAAGCCCACCTTTAACCTTGGCCCACATGTGCACACACTGTATAAACCATAGGCAATTCTCGCTGGTCCCACCTGAAGGTTAAGTTTTGGGGTCTGGGAGGACCATGCCCCTCCCTCCCGGGCCTTGGCCCGCTAGTCACCTTCCCTGCCACCACCAGCACTTTCCCTGATAGAAACACTGTTTATTACGTACCAGCGTGCAGAAATACAGTATTGATCCTGTTCGCTGAAGTAATAAACCTGCCCGTAAATTAGGTCACCGAGCGGAGGTGCTGATGCGCAGTTCCTCTTGAGGTTTCATCTCTGATAAAGTCCTTGAGATGCACAGGGAAGCTTGCGGTGCCTGCGGCGGAAGTGAGGCTCCCCTGCACCCTCCTTTCAACCCCGCAAGTCCGCAGGGAGCTGGGCGCTGGGCCTGACACGGAGGACACCACTTCTGGGGCGCCCTCTCACAGGCAACAGGGAGCACGCGCTGTGGTCTCAGCCTCACCCGGGTCTGCTCCACGTCCCGGGCTACCTGGGTATGGCTCCCCACAGGAAGGCGGCCGCCACGTGCACCTGCCCTCAGGATCCAGTGGACGTGGGGTGTGTTCTGCGGGCCTCTTTGCCCGGAGTCCCTCAGTACAGAAGGTGCCTTACAAGCGGTTTACGAAGAGAACTTTCTGGCTTCTCCCAACTCGGGGAGGAACTTCCATCCCAGGCCTTCCCCGCACCCACTTGCCTAAGGCATTTGGGATGGTGTCCGCCCTGCCCAAGGACAGTTGCCACTTTGTGGCAATGGCCAGTCTCCTGAGAAGGAGCTAGCTCCTATACAGAATGGGAAGCTGGGAGGGCTTTTCTTTTTCTGCTTAAGTGTAACAGCCTATCTGGGGTCTCGAGAGCTTTTCAGATACCAATTAGCTTTTTTTTTTTTGTGGACAGGCAGAGTGGACAGTGAGAGAGAGAGACAGAGAGAAAGGTCTTCCTTTGCCGTTGGTTCACCCTCCAATGGCCGCTGCAGCCAGCGCGCTGCAGACGGCGCACCATGCTGATCCGATGGCAGGAGCCAGGTGCTTTTCCTGGTCTCCCATGGGGTGCAGGGCCCAAGCACTTGGGCCATCCTCCACTGCACTCCCTGGCCACAGCAGAGAGCTGGCCTGGAAGAGGGGCAAGTGGGACAGAATCCGGCGCCCCGACCGGGACTAGAACCTGGTGTGCCAGCGCCACAAGGTGGAGGATTAGCCTAGTGAGCCACAGCGCTGGCCACCAATTAGCTTTTATTTATTTTTTTTTATAAAGGCATGTGGGAAGAATTTGAACCTATTCCTTATTTTTCGGCCCCTGGTCCCCACTTTGCTTTTATTACCACTTCCTTTGCTGCCACCACTACCTGTCACAGAAGAGGAATCTACTTGGAACAGACACTGATGGTGTCTGCTTTCTCGTTCTGTCTCTATTCAGTGTTCTCGCCGTTGAAAACCTCCTCCCCAAAGAAAGAGCTTCACCCCCTGAGCTCCTAGCTAGGACTCTGAAAGTCTCTCTAATAGTGCGGCGTTTGCTGACTTGACCTGACTTTGGCTTTTCCCTTCGCAGTCACTGGATTTAGCTACGGCCAAGCAAGCAGCACAGATACTGAGCAGAGGACTTCCAGCGACCACACAGACCACACCTATGTTTCATCCACGTTTACCAAAGGAGAGCGGACGTTACTGTCCATCACCGATCACAGCTCGTCCCCGGACATCCAGGAGAGCTCGACCTCTTATATTAAGATCTCCAGCTCCTCACACTTAGACTATCCTTCCTCTCCTCGTGCTCAGACTGAACGAAGCAACGTGTCGTCCTACGATGGGGGACACGCTCAGCCTTCCACCGAGTCGCTGGCTCTGCAGACATCCAACCTTCCAACCTCCACCTCCACCGTGAACGTGCCGAACACGCTGGTTCTTCTGGACGCGCGTTCGGAGTCTGCTGGTGGCTCATCTTCTTCCCCGTCAGGGTCCCCTTTGCCTCTACCCTCAGTGTCACAGTCCCATCAGTTGTTCTCATCAACCTTGCCATCACCAATGGCCCCAGTGTACCCACTGCAGTCTACCTCTGAGGCGTCTACACCTCTGTCTTCCTCTCCGTCACCGTTACCACTGTCCTTCATGGCGTCCACCCCCGCCCCAGGTTCCGTCTCACAAACAGCCTTACCACATTCACCTTCTACCGCAGCCCTTCCCAGGGTAAAGGAGACGTCTGTGACTCCAGTTCAGACACCCACTGGGGCATCGTCCACGGCAGTGCTGCGCGGCAGTCACACAGCAGACCCCACGAACCACAGCACCCCGTACCAAAGCCAAATCACCACACAGTCCAAGTCACCAAGCCTGGTGTCTTTGCCCACCGAGCCCAGTAAAGCTGTAAAAATAGGTTCTCCTTCGGAGTCCCCTTTGCCCTCAGCCTTAACAGAGTCCTCCACCAAGCAAACCATTCTTGCCACGAACACAAACGCAGCCCAAAAAATGTCTCCGGGTTTGACAACCACTGCCCCCGAGACTGCGCATCCTGTGACCAATCTCAGTACGCTGCCAAGCACAGCAGTTCTCATTGTGGGCCCTGTAGCTGTGCAGACAACAACCGGGAAACAGCTCTTGCCAACCCATCCTGAAACTGTGGTGCCACAGATCTCAACAGAGGGTGCCATCGCCACGCAAAGGAACCAAGTACATGTGGGTGCTACTACCCAATTGGTCCCGCTGCCCAGTGCACCCACATCAGCAGAAGACTTAACCACAAGTCTTGGCGTTCCGGAAGAGTATGGCCCCGCTTCCCATTCCCTCAGAACATCTCTCCCCCAAACCACAGATCTATCTACAGCTGAAACGTCGACCCCTCGGTCTGCCACCTCTGCTGTTGAGAGCAGCACGCAGTCACCGCCACCATTCTCCTCTCCAGCTTCAGGTACAATGCATCTTGCAAGTACACACTGACTGCTCTGGGCTTGGGATTGGTATGGCCATGCTGAAGTAGCTAGGATTTGGCATAGTGTCTGTTTGTGACCTAAAATGCTTCCCGTTGAAGCCCTTCAAGCATAAAATCAGGCCACAGTAGGACTAAGGTTCTCACCCTCAAGTTAAGTGATTCGTCATGTGATAGATGCGCATAGTTGGTAGTCAGGTGTTTTTTTGTTTGTTCTTTGTTTTGTTACTACAACAACATAGCAAAGATAAGCTAGTAATGAAGAAAAGAAAGGTTTATTTTATTTAGCTCACAGTTTTGGAGGTTCAGGGACGAGATTGGGTGGCCTCATTGTTGGGGTGTCTGGTGAGGGTGGCAGATGGCAGTGGTGGAGCACTTACATGGCAAGGTTCACGTAGCAAGCCAGGGAGCAGAGAGAGTGGCTTCTATAAAAACCCTGTGGTGAGAATTGCCTTTCGAAGACACTGCTGATAACCTGGAGAGCCCCCCAGCCCCAACTTGGCCTCCCTCCTGAACACCGAATTTCCATTCTCTCAGTGCTATTAGTTTACATCTTTGGGGTTTAAATATCTGAATGAGTTTGGGAGCCAAATCATGTTCAGAGCACAGCATAGCTTTTAGCGAGCGATCCTTGCAAGCATGCCTTTAACTCTCCCGAGGTCAGAGCCTGGCAGTGAGGGGGAATTAGAGGGTGGAGAACCTGAAGTCAGAGAGCTTAAGGTGACAGCTTGTGAGCAGAGTACCTGCTTGCAGATCAGCCCGGAGCTTCTGAGTCGGTCGGCTGGCTTCCAGCCACCACGGGACTTCTTGGGGTCAGAGAAGCCCAAGTTCCATTGGTCCCTAAGATTGTGTTGCTTACTGATCAGTGGGAAGGAGGACATGTAACTGACCTTCTCCCCCGTGTGACCATGTGACGGGGCGCCTTCCCATTGCACATTGGGTTATCTTCATCATCCCATTGAAGTTGCTGGAACGAGGGTGACAGACCATCCGAGTGAATCTTTATCATTTAAGGAAAGGTAGAGCAGGAGAGGCTCTCTCTCGATGTCCTGTCCAAAATTGCACTTTTTCTTGTCCACACCCAGGAAAGGAAAACTGCCATGGGTGAAGGGACAAAGCAGAGACTGATGTCTTAGGGAAGAAGGAAAGAAGCTATGTAGTGACTGGAGCAGAGCACTCAGTTACCAGCACCGATGCGCTAGTGGCCCTGGGGACTGGAGTGTCATAACCACCCCCATCGCACCTGCTTTGTGCCGGGACTTAAACTCCGGGAAGTGAAAGGTGCCTCCTTCTGTAGGGAAAACTGAAGGCTCCCCGGCTTCACTTCCGGATGCCGAATAGATTCCGGTACCAGTTGGAAGGAGATTGATAGGTCTCCCTTAAAGCATATTGCGGCTGTTAGGATAGCTGTTGATAAGGATTAGGGGAATATTCATTGGCTGTTAACTTATTTTTGTGCCATTGATGGTACGGTGTTTGATTGCTTATATAGGTGACTTCAGGTAATATTTACAATAACAAAGAGTAGGAACACTGTTTAGCCCTTTTTTGTTTTCAGGGTTGTTCTTTGAGAGTGAGAACTCGTGACTTCTGCCTTCTTTTTCTCATTTCTCTGCTGATTTCCTCCTTGCAGACAATGCAGTTTTGTTGTAGGTTTCAGCTCTTCTAAGTATGTGTCAAAGGCCTTTATGAAGTGGTTACTACGTCACTGGAGTGTGACTCTGCCAGAAGGGATGTGGTCCCTGCCCTTGGGGCTCGGAGTCCCAGGTGACACTGAAATCTGTGTCCTGAGGGCCTAGATGAATTTAGGGAGGGCATGTTCACATCGTGTAAAGAGAGGGTATTGTATTCCTCAGCTAGTTTTCTAAGAGATGCACAACACCCACCCATGTGTACGCACATACAAACATAGTAAATCTTGCCGCAGGAAGAAGTTGGTCAGGGGTCCTTTTTGTCCTTAGTATGTATGTTAAGTTGGCGCTGATTCAAGTAACATAGTCGAAGTGTCACAAAGGTGACAGTAGCCATCAGTCCTGAACTCCGTGACCTTTGTGTAGCATTTGATATGAACTAGTTCATTCTTGCTTTTAGAGATCCGACTGTCTAACGTTTATGTATAGACACAAACTAGTACCAGTACCCAGTCCCACTGCACCTGCTATCTACACCTTTTGGGGACCTTCCTGTATTATAGAAATGTGGCTTTCAGGGCAAGTAAGCATAGATAAGCAAAATGAAATATTAGCTGGGAAAATTAAACATTTACCTAAAGCTGCCTTTACATTTTCTCCGTGATTAACTGTGTTATTCTTGGAATGTGTTTAGTGAACAGGTGTGCCACAAACCCTTGTCTTCACGGTGGCAAGTGCATTGTGGAGCCTACCAGTCGCGGCCATCGATGCGTGTGCTCGCCTTCCTGGCAAGGGGACGACTGCAGTGTGGGTAAGGGAAACGAGTCTGGTTAGTGTCCGCACTACAGGCTTACAGTGGGTTATTCACTTAACTCCTTTCTCCTCTGAAACATGGAGGAAGGTTTGAAAATTAGGACCCTGCCTGCCTGAGAGTTAGGACGCTTGTGTGCATTTGCAAGATGACCGGCAGACGTGCCGACCTGGTTCCCTTCTGCAGCTCCCTGTCCTGCCTTGCTGAGCTGCCTGCAGCTCCTGAAAGCCCCTGCACTTCGCTTGCCTTTGACCTCTGCTGTGCTCGTGCCTCAGCCCATCCTCCCACACCTACCTACCAGATCTGTTTGTTGAAGTTCTACTTTTAGTCCCGGTATTATTGGAAACAGTCCTTAATCCCCTGTTCCATCAAAGGCTGCTGTTTTCTCCCGCTCCTGCCATGGAGTTAGTAGCTTATGTCACTGTCTCCGGCCTCGATGGATGGTCAGCCACTTGCGGACCACGGTGATCTCTTGCCCACCTTGGGAGCCCCAGTGCACTCACCACCATTTGGCCATTAAGACTTACTGCATTGGACAGGATTCTGCCACCTGCCACAAATTCCATATGGCCTTTTTTTTTCTCCTCTGCAGATGTGAATGAATGCCTCTTGAACCCCTGCCCACCCCTGGCCTTGTGCAACAATACTCAGGGATCTTATATCTGCAGATGCCCAGTTGGGTACCAGTTGGAAAAAGGAATATGCAACTTGGGTAAGAATTTATTGGAATTTAATCTGTGCTACAATGTACTTCACAGAATAATGTTTACTATTTTTTTCCCTAATCAAAATCAGTATTTGTCAAAAGAATTTAAATAATATAAAAGGAAGTGAAAGGCATTGTGTATCATTCTAGCAGAGATATAGCACTTCGCAATTTTTATTGCATTATATTTTTACACCATTGAAATCATATTGGTACAAATTTATGTCTTAAACATTTCTTTGTAGTATTAAAATATCACATATTAATATGCCATCATTTGCGCATAACATTATTTGCATAACCATTCTACCCTGTAATCAGGAAAAAAAACTATCTTAAAGAAATTCTGACTACATAGCAAAAAATATTTATATATATATTAGGGAGAGAAAAGAGAAAATAAAATCCCAATTTTTCTACCACATTCATGCATTCTTTTCATTTTTGATCTTCATGCTATTATTCAAAGGCAGATACATTTTGACAAAGCTGCTGCTGTTAAGTGTATGACACAATTTGTCATAGTTTGTTCCCTGATTTGATAGATTTATGAAGCTGGTTGATTTTAAATATAATCTCAATTTTATAGGTTAAAAAGGAAACAAACAAACCAAATGAAAACTGACAAGGTATTACATGGCCAAGTTTATGTAACTGGTTGATGGGAGGCCTAGTTTCCAATCCATAGTCCTTTGTATTACGCAGTAATATCTTAAGCATAAGAGCTTTTTTGCATTACCTTGTTAGGATGCTAAGTTTAATTCATAACTTGTTGAAGAAATTAGAAATGAAAATACAGTTTCTAAGCTGGGTAAAGAAACTGGCATCTTTGAGTCATCCTAACTTGGCCATTGTGATACTTTGTTAAGCAGTTCAGTAACTATTGAAGGAGCAAATACATGTGTCCTTTGGAAGTTGGTACCCTACTAAAATAACAATAGAATTTTGAAAATTGCTTAAAATATAAGGATCGAGTCAAAGCATTATTTTAAAAAGAAGGTTCTGGAAAAATAGACTTCAAGAATTCCTCTTATTGTAATAATTTATTTGCATTTGGGCAACCTGTTTCATCTAGCCACATCCCATAAGAAATAAGCTGAGTGGGGTTTGATTTAGGAATGGAGAATTTGGCGATGATTTTTTGAAGCGTTGTGGAAAGCACACTCGCCCAGCCCTCAGGTGCTGGCTTCTCTGTCCACCTGGGGCACGTGAGCCCTGAGTTTCTACTTCCTCATCTGTAAGATCAGGTTAGCGTCTGCTCTGCAGGGTACAGTGACCATCACACAGACTAAAGGATTTGAAACAGCCTTGAAAAGTGGTAGAGCTGTCCAGATGGGAGGTGTCATTTTAACATTAGACTTTGAACCCTTGGACCAGAATTGAAAGACGTGAAACAGTCAACTGTTCTGAATACAAAGAAATAATTATAGATCTTTCAGTAAAAAATCACTTAGATCTGGTATGGAAATCAACAGAGATTTGAAGCAAACATTTGACAGGAGGCCAGATGATGTAACTGCAGGCGTGAAGGTATAAATGTCTTCAAAACACCCTGCTTTGGAGAGAGACTGGCGCATCTTCCTATTCACACTAAAGGCAGACGCCACGTTTACTATTGCAATTCGGAAGAGAGCGGCATCGCTAACATTTGTGATATGTGTATTTCTGTAAGGGGAGTCTGGGTGTGGACCCAGAGGCAGGAGCGGAAGCCTGTGTCTGTCCCCAGGTAGCAAGGAGGCTCCGGAGGAGAGCAGTTCTATTGTGTTAACAATCATCTTTCCCTTTTCAAGTCATTTAGCTTCATTGTTCATAAACAGCAGAGGAACATGCAAATTAGAGCATGCTGAAATGCTTTCATTTGGCCAAGAATGTTTTCAAAGAGCTCCCTGCTGTTCAGAAAGAGTCCTAAGCAGCTGGCTTCACTGAACTGTAGAACAAGCAAAAAGATGTTAAATAAGGATTAAGGGCTTTAGACAGTAAGTATAAGATGTTGAATGTTTTCCCTGGCTCATTTGTGGGCCTTTTTCTTAATTCAGCATGCAAGCTTTCTGTGATAGCACAGCTTGATGGGCTTCTGTGTTTTGGGTTCCTTTTTTTTCTGTCCAGAGGGAAAGATAAGAATTTAATATAATGAAAGCTAAGAGCCAGATATAAAGCAGGCTGTACTAATTTTTGGTTGCCTGCCCATTTTGTAAGTCCCATTCCCCTCAGGCCCAATCAGCCCAAATTGGTGTTAACTAGAATTTTATTTTATGAGTGAAATGGGCCTTGAGAATAGGGCTGCCTTCTTTCATCCCTGAACCCAGCGGTGTCTTGCATGTGGGTTGTTTTCATTATGTGACTTACAGTCATGGAGCCCGGCAGGCCCATGGAGGAGAAGCCTGCTTCCAGTGCGTCCTCCTGTTCTCCGAAGCCCTTTGGTTGTCCTTCGAATGTGATTCCTCTGAGGCCAGGGGGCACAGCGTGGGGAGGAGCCTTGGAGATGTACACATGCGAGCCTCAGTACCCATCTGGCCCTGGGGAGACAGGGTGGTCTTTCTTGGGGAGTTTGCCCGCCTCTGCACGCCTCCTCTCTCAGTGGTAGAATGGTCATTTCCCCTGATCAAGAGGGAGGATGGGAGTGGCTCTCATGAGAAAAGGAAGCCTCAGCACCCCCTTGAAGTGGGGAGCTTACCTTGGCAGAAGATCTCAGAGAGCAGGAGCCTGCCTGCCTCCGTCCACACTGCAGCCTCCCGAGGCCAGCTGAGCGTGTTTACTGGCCAGCGCGGCATCGGTCTCCTGCCGCCGCTGTGGGCTTACACTGTTTAGACCAGAGCATCTTTCTCCTCTGTCTTCCTTGAGTGGGAGAGCATTAGAGGGCTGCCAGGAGGAGACCCACTAAGATCCACTTACGCATCTACAAGGCTCCGTAGAGCCCCTCACCTAAAGGTGGACTTGGCCTGAGCCTCAGCTCCTCTCAGAGGAACCTCAGGGAAAGAAAGCAGAAAGAAATGCAGAGACTGCGGGCTCTGAGACTGCCCCAGAGGTTTGCAGACACACCTGGGCCAGTGTGTCACATGGTCTAACAGGTGATTTTGTTGTTGTTTGTTTGCAGTTAGAACCTTCGTGACAGAGTTTAAATTAAAGAAAACTTTTCTTAATACCACTGTGGAAAAACATTCAGACCTACATGAAGTTCAAAATGAGATCGCGAGAACGGTACGTGTCCTGAAAGGCTTTGCTGTGCTGGTCTTTTGTCTTCTAGTGCACGCTTTGTCCAGCGTTGGGGACCACCTGAGGGTCGGCTCTTCACTTCTATTGCACTTGGTAAAATAAAAGCCTCTTGGAAATAGGAGAGAGATGTTGGAAACCAGCAGTGCCCAGTAGAAGTGATTCTTCAGATGTGCCTGGTGTGCAGCCTTGGTCTGTGCCTGGTGTTGGTGTTCCGTGTAGAAATTCGTAGTCCCAGCCCCCTAGATGACAGGCACCCGGATGTCATCTGCTGTTGGTGAAGCAGGAAGGACTGAGCGGACAGTGCCGTCGCGTGTGCCGCTGGCTCGCCGTGTGGCTTTCTCCCCGTGCTTCAGAGGCTGGGGGCATGCGTCCTCAAGATGATGCCAAGGGGGTAACGCTTAATCCTGAGTACCTAGGGTTTGAGAACTCATGGTATAGGTGATCTACGGGCTTCTTTGCCTGCTTTTTATCAGAAGACAATGGAGAGGAAGAAAAGCAGGAATAAGATGAAGCTCATAAATAATAGGTTTTGCTTCTCGGCTACTATCTGACTCAAAGATTTGGTGTTCAGAAAGTTGAAATTTGCCATCAAAACAAATTTTAGAGATAACTGATTTCTGATTTCCATTCTACCTGCTCTTTATGGGTGAGAGTTTGTGTGTTAGTTAAGAATTACATGTTGTTTGTAGGACTGTGGGTTTTGTTAGTATAACAGTTTCAATTCCATTTTAGTATCTCCTTGGTACCTGTTCTATGACAGGGACTATGTGAGATGGCTCACTCCTCTTGGAGGTATTACAAACACCTGAGCAGGCATAGAACTGGACGTTAAAGACGCTTCCCAAGTCCTCACAGACCGAGTGCAAAGGTGGGAATGGTCCCCTAGACCACCCTCAGTGCTGACAGCAGTAGCAAGTTTGGGAAGTCCGGAGACCACCCTCGAGTTTCCATATTCACACAAAGTACCCCCAGAACTTACAGAAAGCTGTGACCACTCACGGTTCTGGCTCATCTCACCTATATGCCACAGGTTGAAGCCAGCCGAGAGACAGATGCGTGGGGCAGAGTCCAGGAGGGTTGTACACCGGCAGGACAGCGTTCACTCCCCTCAGCGCCCAGTCGTCACGTAGGCACGAGGGTTGCCAGGCTCACCTGAGCTGCGAGGTCTGCCGCTTTTACTGGGGCTCTGTCGTCTAGACACGGGTGACCGCCCGCGTGGCTGAGCTCCACCTCCTGCCTCTCTGGAGGCTGAGCTGCTTACCCAAAGGCCCCGCCACAGATCACGCGGTTGGCGTGGCCTCAGGCTGCCAGGGAAACGAAGGCAGTTTTATGAAGCAGGGAGTTCCAGGGGCTTGGAAGTGACCTCAGAAAGCCAAGGGCAAAGGCTCACCTCTCTTTAGGCAAGGCCAGGTTCTTTCCCCACAGCAGGGTTTTGTGTGTGCTAACCCTACACGTGGTGTTCTTGTCACCCCACAGCTGTCTCGTGGTTATGCTGTGTCTCTTAGTTTGGGGGCTTAGGGCCCCATGCCGAGGTCCAGTTCATCACACGACACAGAACTCGGTGATGGGGCTGACTTGTGACCTGTTGCCCGGTGTCAACGTGTCATTCCTGGTGATGTGACATACCTGCCTTCTTTCTGTGACACAGTGTAGAAACAGTGAAGCAGTGACTGACCAGATGGTCTTCCCCAAGATGTCATTGTCTTCACCAGCAGCTGGGGGAAAGTTGATGCTAAGAAGAAGAGCTACTGCTGTTAGACTACAAAGCAGCGGCAGACAAATCCAAAAGAGGGTTTCACTCCATCTTCTCAAGAGTGAGAAATCGTGGAGACTTGGGCTTTGAAGACAGGTCTGTCTGCGAGGGACAAGGCAGGAAGAGGGAGAGGAGCAAGCAGGCAGGCGCCGAGCGTGTGCTGGGTGGTGATTTTCTGCTCTCTCCCAGAGCACCAGGCAAACAGGGAGAGTCGCTCTTAATTTGCTCTCAACAAAAGGGCTCTTGACCCATGTAATGTCATTTCCCATGGAGAACCTTTCTGAAGAAGACCCATCTTTGAGTGAGGTCAGCTCATTGGAGGTGATGAGGGGTCGGAGCTGGGGGAGCTGAGAGGTGCTGAGCCTTTTCAGCGAAGCTCATTGTCTATGCAAAGGCCAAACAAACAGTTGCCTTTGAATTGTTTGAAACCCTGCATCTTAGAAGAGAGCTGCTCCTTTGAAGAGGTTTTGCATCCAAGGGTGCAGTTTGAACATCATTTCCTGCCAAGATTCTCCCCACTGATTTACTATCTGCCTCTCTCCCTTTGTACTTCTGCAACAGCAGAAAGCGTTTAAGAGGGAACAAAAAAAGGACAGCACTTCTGTGTAAGAGCTGCCTGCTGCTAACTGGATGGCTGGAAAATGCCTGTTCTCTCCTGGAAATAGGAAATTGGTTCCTGGTCCAAGGCTTTTGTCTAACTCGCAGTTAATGACAAACCTGTTCTTCCTTTCAGTTAAATATGTGTTTTTCGACGTTACCTGGTTATATACGATCCACAGTTCATGCATCCCGGTAAGTGACAGAATCATTCACTTGTGACCCCGTCTGTGGAAGGGGGAGGCTCATTCTAACAAGGGTGACAGCAACAAAGGCCCTGTCTCGTCCAGGCCAGGGGGTGAGGCAGAGCCAGGCCACTGGACCTTCACGCTCTCCCGTGCCCTCCCTGGAGAGCGGCAGTGACAGCTTTTCTACCAATGCTGGGGCCCTCGTGTCATCGTAGGACAACTAAAATCTATAACCTCTGCCTCTAGGGGGTCCAGCGTAGTGGTGATCTCACTGCAAACCACCTTTGCCTTGGCTTCCAATGTGACACTGTTTGACCTGGCCGATGGGATCCAGAAATACGTCAACTCCTGCAGGTCCTCTGCTGAGGTCTGCCAGCTCCTGGGATCTCAAAGGCGGATCTTTAGAGGTAAGACAGAAGCCTGTGGCAGGACCCTGCCCGTTTGGTTAGATGCAGACCTGGGATAGAAACGTAAGGCATCTGGGGGCTCAGACCCAGGAAAACTCTTCACAGAGGCTGTTTGGCGTGGGAATGAGGCAGAAGACCGTCATGTGCAGGCACACACGCATGCGCAGAGCCCCGAAGGCCCTTGGCCTGGCCCCTTGTTGGGTGTGACGTTGGAGTAGGAAGAGGAGAGGCTATAGGAGCTGATGGAAGAAGGCAGAGGTTGCTCTTCCTTCCCTGGAAAAGTTCCTGCTCTCTCCAGGAGACTGAAACTCCCAGCCAGCACGTCCGTGCTTGTGGATGAGATCCAGATGCCTGTGTAAGTAAGACAGGCGTGTGCAGGGTTGTGCGTCTTGTTTGCCTGTTTGCAAATTGTAAATCTGTATAGCGAGCCTGGGTGAGTGCAGGCAGCATGTCTCCAGGGTGCTGGTGATGAGGGTGCTTTTCCTTTCCCTCTTCTTCTTGCTTCGTTGTGTCAGAAGCCTCCCCAGTGCATCCAGAGTGAGGCGGATGAAGAAAGGGATCGGGGACAGCACGTTGAGAAGGCAGGATTGCGTCCTGGGGAAGTTTTGCTTCTGGGATGGGAAAACTGTGCCGGAAACAGAAGTGCTGCTCTGCCAAGGGGACCTGTCCCACTTACTGCCTTGCAAGTGATCAAAGTGGGCTCTGGTTAGCTCATTTGTGCAGCGAGGGCTGGCAGAGGACGGGGAATGGAGCTGACCCTCCCCATCTGCTGTGCAGATGCCGGATGGACGTCGACGGCTCAGGTTCTGGCGCTCTGTCTGCTCCCCGGTCTGGGCTGCTCCCAGGAGGTCAGGGTTTCGTAGCTGCCGTTCCAGAGGGCTTGCCTAAGCCGGCCTTTGTGCTGCAGAGCTTGGGAGTCAGGCTCTGCTCTGGGATAAGCACTGGAGTTTGGCCCATTTAAGGGCTAGTTATGCATCTTAAGAAAAAAAAGATCTTCAATTTTCTGGGGTTAGATTTGCTACTGACTAGGGAGTGAGTGAGTGAGTTCCTGCCCCAGTGTATCCTGCTTGAAACTTGGAGGCTCTCCAGGTTTTGTTTTTCTTGCCGTGAAGTCAAGGGTTCTAGTTCTTACTGGAACCAGTTCTTCCAACAGTGAGGTAGGCAGGGTACTTCTCAGCCCACTAAGCATCCGTGCAGTGCGTCCTGTGCCGCCAGCATCGTTCCAGATTACGGTTTTTGTCCCCAGCAAGTGCATTTCTGCCTTGCAAGCCAGGTGGCTCCATCTTTGGACTTGTGAGAGCCCGCCCACAGCTGCCCTGCCCACAGCTGCCCTGCCCGTCCCCCCCCACCCCATCTTCCTTGCTTCCCCACTCCTTACCTCTGCTTCCAGAGCCCCCGAGAACAAAGACAGTCATGCATACTGCCTGAAAACTGGCACTGGGTTCTTGCAGGTGCTAACATCTGGGTGTGCCCAGCTTATGGGCAGCGTGGGGCTCTTCTGGACACAGCCACTGGAGAGGAGGGGTCCCGCCTTCAATTCACAACCGTCTGCTTCCTTGCCTTTCAAGGAGCTGCAGTTGTCCTCATCCCCAGTGGGCTGAAAAGCTTAGGATTCCCCGCAGAGTGCTGAGCCTTGGGTTTGCTCCCATTCTGCTCGTCTGTTTGGGCAGATGTTATGCCCAGGAAGGACCAGGGGAATTGTGAATGTAGAAGAATCACATCACCAGGCTGACAGAGCCAGCGGGATGCTAGGTGGCTCTGTGTGATGATTGCCAGTGCATCGTTCTTTGGGAATCTTTAGGCTTACTGCTCCTTCACTCCAGAGGCAGGGCCTGCTCTCCCCGTTTCCTGCAAATGTGCTTCCGTGCAGCCTGAGTGGCTGCCTTGGCCAGGCGGTTCGGATTTGCCGGCAGACTGGATGCACGGGAAGAATGGAAGGAAGACGTGATCTCGCCTCCCAGAAAATGTTGAAGTGGGCCAGGCAGCCCAGGCTGGCTGTTGAGCAGAAGTAGTGGCAGCCTGGACAGCTTTGTGCCCTGAGGGATTTCTTCCTGGGAAGGCTAGACGACGGGCAAAGCCTTCAAAGAGTTTAAATGAAGGGCTGTGGCACTTGAATACCTTCCTGGTGCCAGCTTTGCAGTGTTTGCCTGGTGAGACTTTCCATTTTTATTTTCTCCCCCTTAAATATAAGCTTTTCGCAATAAACAAAGGAAATTCTATCACAGACGCAAAAGGGCTTCTGATTTAGCATGCCAGCTTCCACTGATAAAGGCAGGAAATTCAGCGCTGAGAACCGAAGCTGTGTCCTGAGCTTACCTCCCCTCCGCCCAGGCTGGCCACTGCCCCCAGCTCTCGGGACTCACGGAACGGGGCAGACGCTGGGAACCCTGGGTGGGTGGTCAAGCCCCGTGAGCCAGAACCTGGCTGGGCAGCACGAGATTTGTGGCGTTAACAGATGGCACCTGGTTTCTGAATAGGTTGGAATCTTCTGGCAGGAGAAGGGAGACTGCCTGGCGAATTGGCAGCCGTTCCTCCCTACATAGCACACGCGTTGCCTTTCCATCGCAGCTCTCTTCTCGTTCTGAACTTGCCCTTGCCTCCCTGTAACAGCAGCGGCATGTACCCATCTTGCCTTCCTGAGCATGGGTTTAAATAAGTTACTATTTACGCCCCGGTTGGTTTCATATTTTTGTCTTGGGCTTACCTCAGATGGCAAAAGGTGCCTTCATGTCTGCCATAGACCAGCTCATAGAGGGCCACAGAATGGGTGATACGAGGTGATTCTTTGTCACCCATGAGAGGAATAAGGTCCTGAAGTGATGGTGTAACCATGTGAATGACGGGCTCTTCTCTGCCCGCCTCTCCTCTGGGCGTTGGCGCAGGGACGGCCCCTGCTGCACGTGCATCCTCCCTGGTCTCTGGACAAAGCCTGAAGGCGCAGAGATGGTGATCAGACCAAGCCCTCAGCATCGTGAGGGAGGCAGCCTGAAAACACAGCCCATGTGGGGGGATTCTGAGCTCTCTGAAGTCCTTGGAAGGCAGCACCGTCCCAGGAGTGGCACTGAGGCCCTTAATTTAAGCCACACGCACACCCAGAGCCCAGGCGCGGTTTTGCCTGGGGCAGGTCTGGCCAGCACTAGCTGTTCTTGGTTCTAGCCTCCCGGCTTCCTAACAGCACGGCCAGGCTTTGTGGCTTTGTGCTGTTCCGGGACTCCTTCCAGGGCCCCCTTGTAATGGGTGCAGAGGAGGGGACGCACCCCACTTCCTCCCAGTTTGCCTGGTGTCCAGGACGCACTGGGAGAGGTGCCCAGTGGGGAACACTGATGCTGAGTGACCGTGCACGGGCCGGCCCCAGGGAAGGAGGGGCCGGGGTGCCACAGCTCACGGAGACTTCCTGGAAAGCCGCTCACAGAGCCTCTTCCACCAGAAATGGGGTGTCTTAAGGATGGAAGTTTTTTGTTTTGTTTCACTGTCTGGTTTTCCCGTTGGCAGCGGGTAGCTTGTGCAAGCGGAAGAGCCCCGAGTGTGACAAGGAGACCTCCATCTGCACGGATCTGGATGGCGTCGCGCTGTGCCAGTGCAAGTCGGGCTACTTCCAGTTCAACAAGATGGATCACTCCTGCCGAGGTAACGCAGCGTCGCCGGCCACCGCGCTCTGGCCGGGGACAGGGAGCCATTCTTCTCTGTTTGCTAGCTCTCTCTTTTCTCTCTCTCTCTTTCTCTTGGTGGGAGGCTTCTGGACTGGGGGGTGCTGGTCCTTGTTATTTTGCTCACAGCAGGATTGAATACATTATCTCCTCGGAACAATAGCGGTATCTCTGACTGTGGCGCTCGGGTGTGGCCCGTCCAATTCAAAGGAAAGGAGAATGGAATGTTTGTGATAGCTCCGCCTTTTCTTGCTTTCTTAGGAAGTGAGAAAATGAGTGTTTGAATTGCCAAAGCTTTATCTGTTGTCTGCTAATCTTTTAAAGTGGAAACACCAGCGTGGAGCCAGGCCCGGATCTTTTAGGGGCACCCGTGGCTCAGAAACCCGAGGTAGAACCGGGCTCTGCCTCACGGGTGGTGTGGTGTCTTAGGCCAGCCACTGTTTGCTCTTGGATGAAACTGGCCGTGATGCGTTATTGGCTGTTGTGAGAATGAAGGCAGGCACTCTACATACAGGGGAACGTCGTGAGTGTATTTGCTCTTGCATTTTACCCAGGTTGTTGAATTAGTGAGTTATCGTTTTAAAAGCTCATCGAGTGTTTGAGAGCAGAAATCTAATTTTGCTAACCTTTTAAGGGAAGCTTAAATTCATTTGGTTTGAGATAAAGACTGCTTGATGAGAGTAATCCAAGAATATTGCTTTGGAATAAAAGTAATTCAAGTCCAGAGCACTGTGTACACCCACTTACGGAAGGCCTTCAGAAGCCTGGTGTCCCGTAGCCATGAGCCTTGCCTTCCACCAGCATGCGCATGGCACAGGTGTCACCTTGCTGGAGACGGGTGTCCTGGGATCTGAATAGAAGTCGTATACCAGGGCAAGATGACATGCCACTTACTTCTGTCATGGACTTGGTGCTTCAGAGGAAGGTAACAGTGCATCGCAGGGCCACGCTCTCGTCCGGAACTTCCAACCCCTCAACTCGGTATCGTCTGCTCTCCAGGCAGGATGGGAGGTGGGTTTCCAAGAAGAGGCCCAGCTCTCGGTGTTGGGCACAGGTCCTGGTGCACAGCCGGTACACAGCATTCCTCAGTGCCACAGTAGTCTGCTGCCTTGCTACAAAGAGAGGGTGCTTTCTAACTCCCTCTTACCTGGCGCAAAACAAAGCGTTCCTTTTCTAAAAAAATTTTTTTTATTATTTATTTATTTGAAAGTCAGAGTTACACAGAGAGAGGAGGAGGGGGGTCTTCCATCCGCTGGTTCATTTCCAATTGGCTGCAACGGCCAGAGATGCGCCGATCTGAAGCAGGAGCCAGGAGCTTCTTCCAGGTCTTCCACGCGGTTGCAGGGGCCCAAGCACCTGGGCCATCTTCTACTGCTTTCCCAGGCCACAGCAGAGAGCTGGATGGGAAGTGGAGCAGCCGGGACTAGAACCGGCGCCCATATGGGATGCCAGCACTTTAGGCCGGGGCTTTAACCCGCTATGCCACAGCGCCAGCCCCAACAAAGCGTTCCTTGCAATAGAAGTGGGAATTTGTGCCCAGCTTCACGTGAGGAGGGGACAGCACCGAGATCCTTGTGACTCAGGGTGCCAAGAAACACAAGGTAGACAGGAGTGGGGCAATCGGCATGGTAGCCCCTGGGAGGGCACCTTCAGAGCCACCCTGCCTGCCGCCTCTGCTTCCAAGTCAGCGATCATGATTGTGTCACTTCCAGGCCAGCGTGAGCAGCAGCAGAGCTGTCAAAGCTTTCCCCGGCGGGTGGACAGAGGCACCAGCAACCTTACCTCATCAAGTAATGACGCAAGGAGCCGCATAAGGGAACCTGAATAGCTCTGGGGCTTCTTGCCCAGGCCCCGCGGAGTCCCTCCTCTGCAGTGTCCGGCCATCAGGCCTCTGATGAGTGGGTCCAGGAGCTTCTTGTCTCCCAGCCCTTCCCGCTGGGCTCTGATGGGTTAGCAGTGACCCCTTCTGGTCGTTGGTGCTGGAGCACAGGCATATTTCTGAGAGCCCCTTTGGGACATCTTAAGTCAGGAGTCAGTCCTCTGTCTGAATGGAACACAGGGGTGTGTGTGTGTGTGTGTGTGTGTGTGTCTCTAAGCCACTGAAACTTCAGCTGTACATTAGCAAGTCTACATTGTTCTCCGTGGGATACACACACACACATACATGGGCGCACACACCCATGTGCTCCTTAGTGTCTCGTGTAAAAATGTCCTGATGATATTTTTACCAGGCTTTCAGAGCAACGTAAACAATTAAAGTCAGTGTCCTTTCCGCAGGTCTCTGAGCTCCCTTCCCACGTGCAGGCGTCACGATGAGTTCTAACAATCCGTTCTGCGTCTCATCACGCCACGAGTGCCTTGAGAGCCAGAGCCGTGTCTAGAATAGTGCTTCGCATATGGCGGGGTTCCACAATATCTTTTAAACAAATGCATGGGTAATAGAACAGCAAATGTGATAGCGAAAGACTGGGACATCTTGGCTTAGTTTCCAGCAAGGGAACAAAACAGTTTGTAAGACTTGCCATCTCCTTGTTAATTTATTTTAAGTCCAGAAAGCTTAAATTTGCTTAGGTCCCATAGCAGCCGGGGAGGCTGGCTTAGGTCTGTTTGCAGGCCATTCCTCGCATGTATTTCATCTGTGGTCCCCTGTGTGAGAGAAGCTGAGTCCTAAGGAGCAGCAGGGCCTGGCTGACAAGATTCCCCTGAGGCCGCAGAGCAGCAGCTGACACAGTGATGTCAGTCTTTGATGAATGACTGAGCCCATTTGAAACAGAACAATGTCGTGACATCAGGAGTCCAGTCACTTCGGAGGCAACCTACAAATGGCCTAGCCCTTGAACTTGCAGGCAGGACAACAGATGGGCCCTGGGCACAGCTGGACGGCAGCCATGGAGTGCAGAGTTCCCACCCAGCACGGGAGGTCGATCTGATCTGAAAACATTTCCGGGAAGAAGTATTCAGAATAGAAGAGAACAGGGTGACATCAGCCCGCCTCGGTGCCAAGCTGGGTGGAGGGAGGAGCTGCATAGCAGGGGCAGGACCATCTGTGCGGGGAGCTTCCCGCACCTGGCTCCCAGAGGCAGGAATGGCCACCTCCTTCCCTATAGACGGCCCCACCCGAGTAAGGCCTGCAGGCGGAGAACCCAAAGTAGCAAAGGTTGAGAGGTGGGACCTTGTTTCTCCTTCCCTGTGTGGGGTACGTTATTCTCTACCGGATACATAAAGTTAAGTAAATGCAATAAAATAAGATTTAAAAATATTGAAATCAGGTTGAAGGAGAAATAAACTGACTGCTTCGTTGAGGCCAGACAGAAAGGGAATATGCAAAAGGATACACCACGAGGCCCTTTGTGTTTGCCCAAAGTAGGCTGCTGGTTCAAGTACTGCGCTTCCTAGCACTGAAGCAGAGAGAGATGTGTGATTTTGGAGAGTCGGGGGTCCATGAAATAAAGGACCAGTGCTCAGGAGCACCCCCCTCTTTCAAGGCACTGTGGTCCACGAGACATTCCTCTGGGCACTCTCATCAAGACCTGAGTGGTGTGGTGGCCACGTGGCCCGTGGTCTCCCACAGCAAGCACCATGGGGATTTCCCGGGCTGCTGCTGCCTGTGATAAATGGCCCTCATACAAGGGCATGGCGCCCCAGACAAGCGGAACAGTGGGTCTGCATTCACAGCTCGCTCTCTCTCGCTGCTATGAGAGAACGACAGCTCATTTAGAACCGTGTTTTCCCAGCCGTGTCCCCAGAAACTCCAGTGATGTTAATAAATGGTCCTGGAGAGTAAAAGAGAAACCAGAAACTTCTTGCTTCCAATGTTAAATACGTCGGAGGAGGAGGACTGGTTAATCTGACAGTGCACGGGTCCGTAACAGAGGATGCCGGAGGGCCTGTGCGAGACCTGGAGGCCCTCAGCCCACCTGCCATCATGCACGCTGCTGCACGCACGAGTCGCCACTCACATCTGTTCAGCCACACATTTTTTTATCCGTGATCTTTTATGCAATGTACATTATACATTAATCATGAATCAGATTTCCGTCATTCCTTGCAGCAAGGAATTTGTCTACAAAGCCAGTTTTCATAGCTTTCATCTAAGCGCCGTGGCTCATGGTGTTCTGCTAGCTTAGTGTAGTGTGGAAAGTGTTCTCAGAGCAAGCAGACCTGGAGCTGCCGATGCAGAGAGGCAGTGTTCCAGACGCAGCACCGGCAGAGTGTCCGGAGTTGTGGTCTTGAACGAGGTGCCCATGAGGACCCCTGCACGGACCATGTAGGGTGAGCCTTCTCTGATGAAATCCTGGGCACCCACCAAAGCGGTGCCCCGGAGAGTGTCCCCCACAGCTCCATCACCTCATAGAACAGGGCCTGTGGGACCAACCCCAGGTGACAGGTTCAGTTTGCATTAAAGAGGATGAAAGGTTTATCTTTGTGGACATGGAAGGGTGTTCTATGGGGACATCTTTCATCTTTAGGTAACTTCTGAAAAGAACTGCATCTGTTGGATAGCAATCACAACCAAAACCAGTTATTTCGTCGTTACTCCGGGCCAGGTGTATGCTGAGCCATGTGCCTGCATTGTTTTCCTTACTCTCATCCAAGAAACTATCAAGGACATATTATTATTATTCTCTCTCTCTTTTTTTGGGGGGAGGGGAGACTGAGACCCACAAGGAACAATTTCTTGATGAGAACGTTAAGCTGGCAGCAGGATTTAGGTCAGGTTATACAGATCATTCTGAAGCCGTTTGCAGCCTTCTGGTTCTGGAATATTTTGTGGACTCTAGGCGTGTAATTAACTATAGGTTTGGGCCAAGGGAGGTAAATATGCACATTCTTGAGTTTTCCTTTTGTCTTTCAGCCTGTGAAGATGGATATAGGCTTGAAAATGAAACCTGTATGAGGTAGGCTCCATGTTCATTTATTTATTTATTTTTTTTATTTTTTATTTTTTATTTTTTTTTTGACAGGCAGAGTGGACAGTGAGAGAGAGAGACAGAGAGAAAGGTCTTCCTTTGCCGTTGGTTCACCCTCCAATGGCCGCCGCGGCCGGCGCACCGCGCTGATCCGATGGCAGGAGCCAGGAGTCAGGTGCTTTTCCTGGTCTCCCATGGGGTGCAGGGCCCAAGCACCTGGGCCATCCTCCACTGCACTCCCTGGCCACAGCAGAGGGCTGGCCTGGAAGAGGGGCAACCGGGACAGAATCCGGCGCCCCGACCGGGACTAGAACCCGGTGTGCCGGCGCCGCTAGGCGGAGGATTAGCCTAGTGAGCCGCGGCGCCGGCCGGCTCCATGTTCATTTATTCTGATGGGTTTGATGCAAGTCTTACTGGAAATAGACTCAATTGTTTCTTTCGAGATCTGAAAGTAACTCTTACTCCCTTTTCTTTGCGGATTTATAGTTGCCCATTTGGCCTTGGTGGTCTCAACTGTGGAAACCGTAAGTACAGAAGTGGGGCCCTTCCCCCGCCCGCCCCTTGTCAGTGCACACGGTGCTCTCTCCTTCCATTTCCCTCACGTTTGATGCCGCTGCCCCCCAGGTCCTTGCTGGGTGGCCTGCCTGGCGTTGTCCAGGGGCTCAGGCTCTGGGAGGGGAGATAAAGTCTCTGGATCGCCTGACTCTGCCGAGTATTGAACAGGCAGGGAGTCTGACATCTGCAGGCACGGACCGCACTCAGCGGAGAATGGAAGGACACCCTGGGACTTCTTGGAGGGGCTGGGTTTGGAGCAAGGCTTAGAAAGAGTCTGGCTTGCAGGTGTGGGGAGACAGGGACATCCCAGACTGAGGGAAACACCTTCAGGCCTGGGGCAGCCAGGGGCCGTGGTGTTGTGGGGACAGTTTATAATGGCTGGAGTATACATAGAGGAAGGCAGACGGTGGTGGGTTGAGTTGGCAAAGTGTCTGGGGACCGAACTGCAGGGGCTTTGAACCTCAGGCTTGGAGTTGAGGCTGTGGTGGTGACCAGCGGGAGCTGCCAGGGTTGGAAAACAGGTGGCTTAAGGCGGGTGAGCTGGGCTGCAGTGAGGACGAGGCTGGACAGAGAACCTGGGCGCGGGTGGGAGGCTTCCCTGTGCTTCCAGCGAGGGCCCGGGCCTGGAGACCAGCGCCAGGCTGGTGCTGACGGCAGGCATGCTGTTGTCACACCTGACTCAGTTACTTGAGAAAAGCACCTGTGATTCAGTGACGATATTTTTTCCCACTGATGCTTTTCTTATTTTGAGACATTAGAAATTGAAGTGACCTTCAAAATTATGAAAGAAATTTTGGGAGCTAGGATATGATGGGCTGTAATAGGAATAATTAACAGTCAAGTCTTTATTGCAACTTTGTCCTCCATTTTACAGATGAGAGGGCCAGTGGTTCATATTCTAAGTACACGTGGTTTTATTTGATGTGTATAAAAGCCCCTCGTCTCTTGCCCAATGGGATGCCTTACTTTAAATATCCTCAGTGGTATTGTCTTTGTTCATAAAGCTTTTCTGTTAGCAAATTTCATTCTGGGACTTTTAGTGAGCATAAATAAAAATAAAACAAATTCAATATTAGGTACAAAACTGATGTAAATTACCTTGGCGTCCCCAGCAAGAAGCTACTCTCAGGCTAGAGTCCAGAGACTTAGAGCTACATATCTGGTCAGGACAATGATGGGATTGGTCACCTAGATTATCCTGACTGCAGACGGTCAAGAGGTTACCATAGGTCGGCTCAGACGAGGGAGACATTTCCAGAAGCAAATATGTTTAGTCATTTGAGTAGAAAGGGAGGGACCCACAGAAACACTTTATAAAAAAGATTTATTTGTTTGAAAGGCAGAGTTAGTTACAGAGAGAGAGGGGAGAGAGAGAGGTTTTCTATCCAGTGGTTCACTCCCCAGATTGCTGTGAAATCCAGGGCTGGGCCAGGCCAAAGCCAGGATCTAGGAGCTGCTTCTGAGTCTCCCACATGGGTGCAGGGGCCCAAGCACTTGAGCCATCCTCTGCTGCCTTCCCAGGAACATTAGCAGAGAGCTGAATGGGAAGTGGAGCAGCTGGGTCACGAACCAGGGCTGTTATGGGATGCCAGTGCCACAGGCAGCACCTTTACCTGCTACGCCACAGTGCCAACCCCAAAATGCTTAAAGTAACAGCCTGTGGCCACTGAGTGGTGGGTGAGCAGCCCTGAACTCTGCAGCTGTCCCTCAGGATGCCGTAAGACTCCATTTAAGATAATATTACTGCTTTTTTTTTTTTTTGGACAGGTAGAGTTAGACAGTGAGAGAGAGACAGAGAGAAAGGTCTTCCTTCTGTTGGCTCACCCCCCAAATGGCTGCTACAGCCGGCGCTGCACCGAGATCTGAAGCCCAGAGCCAGGTGCTTCTCCTGGTCTCCCATGCGGGTGCAGGGCCCAAGCACTTGGGCCATCCTCCACTGCCTTCCTGGGCCACAGCAGAGAGCTGGACTGGAAGAAGAGCAACTGGGGCAGAATCTAGCACCCCAACTGGGACTAGAACCCGGTGTGCCGGTGCCACAGGCGGAGGATTAGCCTAGTGAGCCACAGCACTGGCCCTTAATGCTTTTTTTTAAAAAAAAAGATTTATTTGTTTGTTTTTTTTAAAAGATTTATTTATTTATTTGAAAGTCAGAGTTACACAGAGAGAGGAGAGGCAGAGAGAGAGAGAGGTCTTCCATGCACTGGTTAACTCCCCAGATGGCCACAACAGCCAGAGCTGCGCCGATCTGAAGCCAGAAGCCAAGAGCTCTTCCAGGCCTCCCATGCGGGTGCAGGGGCCCAAGGACTTGGACCATCTTCTACTGCTTTCCCAGGCCATAGCAGAGAGCTGGATCGGAAGTGGAGCAGCTGGGACTCTAACTGGCGCCCATATGAGATGCCGGCGTTTCAGGCCAGGGCATTAACCTGCTGCGCCACAGCACTGGCTCCTATTAAAGATTTTTTTTTTTTTTTTTTTTTTTTTTTGGACAGGCAGAGTTAGACAGTGAGAGAGAGAGAGAGAAAGGTCTTCCTTTTCCTGTTGGTTCACTCCCACAAATGGCTGCTACAGCCAGCGCGCTGTGCTGATCCGAAGCCAGGAGCCAGGCGCCTCCTCCTGGTCTCCCATGCGGGTGCAGGACCCAAGCACTTGGGCCATCCTCCATTGCCCTCCTGGGCCACAGCAGAGAGCTGGACTGGAAGAGGAGCAACCAGGACAGAATCCGGTGCCCCAACCGGGACTAGAACCTGGGATGCCAGTGCCGCAGGCGGAGGATTAGCCAAGTGAACCGAGGCGCAGGCCACTTTCTTTTTTTTTTAAGAAGTGTTTATTTGAAAGGCAACATGGGTGCCCGTGTTGTAGTAGTGGGTAAACCCGCCACCTGTGATGCCAGCGTCCCATATGGGCTCCAATTCATGTCCTGGCTGCTCTACTTCCAATCCAGCTCCCTGTTAATGGCCTAGAAAATAAGAACATGGCCCAAGTGCTTAGGCCCCTGCTACCCTCATGGAAGACCTGGAAGAAGCTCCTGGCTTCTGCCTGGCCCCAGTGTTGGGTGTTGCAGCCATCTGGGGAGTGAAACAGTGGATGGAAGACCTCTTTCTCTCTCTCTCTCTGCCTTTCCCTCTCTGTGTAACTTTCAAATAAATAAATAAATCTGAAAAAAAAAAAAAGGCAATGTGACAGAGGGAGAGAGAGAGAGAGACATCTTCCATCTGCTGATTCTCCAAATGCCTGCAACAGTCAAGTTTGAACCAAGCTTAAGCCAGGAGCCAGGAACTCCAAACAGGTCTCCTCCATGGTTGGGTGGCCATCACCTCTTGCTTCCTAGGTGCCTTAGCAGGGAGCTGGATTGGAAGTAGAGTAGCTGGGACTCTAACTGGTTCTCCAGTACAGGGTGCAGGCGTCCCCAACAGTCCCTTAGCCTGCTGTGGCACAACATTGGCCCCGCGTGTGAACCTTTCTAGTTCTACGTGGCGCCAATGATTTTTTTTTCCCCTCAGGAGATCGGTAAATACTGTATGTCTGGAGATGCTATCCCCCTACATCCGTCTGCTATTCTTTAATAACCTGTGTCGGAGAAAAGTCAAATTGGCCTCATTGTGTTTATGGGGCCCTGGAAGGAGCCAGGACTTCTCTTTGATCCCAGAGGCTGCCTTTTCCTCCCGCTTTGTCCCAGTCACCATCCTTACGTCCAGCAGAGGGCAGACGCCTGTCTGGACGGCTAGGTCCCAGCCACCTTGTGTAATGGGCAGCTTATCATTACAGTGTGGTGACTCCTGAGAGCTCTGTGATGCTGTGTGAATATCACTTTATGACATGATATCTCCATGAGCTGCAAAGCAGTTCCCAGTGTCTGATAATATTTGATGAGTCATTATTTACCATAATACTTTATACATGGAGCCACTTGCCACCTGCTTCCTTATCTGAGGTCTGACCAGGCCTGGGTGCTATGTAAGGAATCAGGAATACCAGGGGACTGGTGTTGTTGTGCAGTGGGTTAAGCCACCACCTGGCACGCCAGCACAGCTTGTCAAAGCACTGATTTTAGTCCTGGCTGTTCCACTTCCTGTCCAGCTCCCTGCTAATGTACCGGGGAAAGTAGCAGGAAACGGCCAAATGCTTGGGCCCCTGCCACCCACATGGGAGACCCAGATGGAGCACTGGGCTTCTGACTTCAGCTTGGCCCAGTCCTTGTTGCTGGAACCATTTGGGGAGTGAACTAGCAGATGGAAGATCTCTCCTTGGAACTGCATTTCAAATACATAAATAAGTCTTTAAAAACAGATCTGGACTTCGTCCACAGTGACCTTGATAGAGCTTGGGGAGTGTGGACCCCTCATTCGTTTGTGCCCTTGTGCCGGACGGCAGGGGTCTGGCTGCCTACCACTGTTGCTCCTGCTGTTGCCCCTAGAGACAGTTGGCACCTTACTGGCGCTGGGACCCAGGCTGGATTTTGCCACAGGCAAGAGGTGCTGCTTTCTCAGGCAGACTTCCTGGGGCCCTCGACCCAAGTCCAGTGAGGGAGGCCGATCCAGCCAGGTACACACTCCTGTGTCCCTTACTGCTGCACTCCTCACAGTCGTCAATGCCAGAAGGTTCCGGCTGAGGCGTAATGTGTGCCCTGCCTTTGTCAGTGTTTGTCCTTGTTCCTCAGAGACTCTCCTTCAAACTGGGAAGGGGCAGACCAGCCCTCCACCCAGGTCTTCAGGCCCTGAAGGAACGCAGGCCCCGTTGGCGTGGCCGAGCCAGGGCCACCAGGTCTACCCTGGCCTTAGCGCTGCTCTCCCCGTTCTTTCCTTCCCTTGCAGTCTGTGTCTCGTTCTGCCCCAGGTTCCCACAGTTCTGTCTGCTCCCGCCATTTGTCAGATGGCCCCACATTTGTTGTGATTCAGGGGCCTCTCCTGGCCTGCTGCCACCCCTTTTGTGGGCATGTATGTCTCGTGTGTCTCTTGGCGCTCACGAAGCCACGTGACTTCCCCCTCACGGTTTTATAATATCTGCCATGGTGCTGTGGTTTGCTTCACCTTTTCCTCTTTTTCAAATAGGTTAAGTGCATGCCCACTAATTTTTCTTTCATTAAGAAAACTCAGTTTAATCAGATAGTAGACATAAGGGAAGACAAGAGCTGAAGTACCCAGTCTCGTCGCCCGTTGCACATCCTCTTTCCTTGCTGCTCAGGGCGGCCCCGGGGCCAGCAGCATCCATATTCCCCAAGAGCTGTTGGAAGTGAAGAATTTCAGGCTGATCTTCTCAGACCTCCCGAAGCAGAATCTGGAGGGTAACCAGGCTCAGAGACTGGGTCAGTCTGCAGACTGCATGCTTAGGAAAGTTTGAGCACTGGTATTATATATCTTTCCAGAGATAAGTATGTGTGTATCTTCAAAAAAGTTATTTCTTTATTTGAAAGAGAGGGAGAGGCAGAGAGAAGATCTTGCATCCACTGGTTTGCTCCCCAAGTGGCCACAATGGCCAGGGCTGGGCCAGAAGCCAGGAGCTTCTTCCCAGTCTCACCCGTGGGTGGCAGGGGCCCAAGCATTTGGACCATCTTCTGCTGCTTTCCAAAGGAGCATTAGCAGGGAGCTGGATCAGAAGTGGAGCAGCCAGGACATGAAATCACAGGCAGGGGTTTAACCCACTACACCACAATGCCAACCCCTGTGTGTTTCTTTTCAAGAGAAATTGTATGTCACTGAACACACTGTTTTGTAACCTGCTTTTAAACCTAGTAAGCTGTAGGATGTTTTTATTTACATAATTCCATAATATTACTTTAAAAACATGCTATTTATTTTCATCTACTTGAGAGAGCAAGAGAGAGTTGGAAACACACACACACACACACACACACACACAGATCTTCCATTCACTGGTTCACTCCCTAAATGTCCAAAACCGCCAGGGCTGGTCCAGGCCAAAGCCAGAAGCCCAGGACTCCACCCAGGTCTCCCGTGCATGTGGCAGGGGCACAAGCACTTGAGCCATCATCTGCTGTCTCCCAGAATGCATCAGCAGGAAGCTCTGTTGGAACGTAGAGGTGCTAGGACCCACACCAGCACTTTGATCGGAGATACAGACATTCCTAGTGGTGTCTTAGCCCACTGCCCCACAATGCCATTTTTGATAGTTCTATATTATAGTGTAGTTTACTTAAGCATTGCCCTCTTGCTACCTTTTCAAAGTCTTTTTTATGTCCCCATACTTAAGCCATTGTTGTGTTTTATAACTGTTATCATCCTGTGATTACAGAGCTTATGTGATTTTCCTAGCCAGCTTTCCTCTGGCCACAGGCATTGTTATCCGAGGTTCTTTCCTATTCACCACATGTCCTTTTGTAGGCCACTCTGCCCACTCAGAGGTTCTGCATCTCTTTAGTGGGAACTCCCTGCCCGAGTGAGGCCAGGGAGGCTTTAGAGCCTGCCTTTCCCACTTACAGTCCTCTTCCCGTGGCACCAGAATACGCCCCACACCTACTTGTCCTGCTGCCTCTGCCCCCCCAGCCGAGGACCGCCCCCTCACTGTCGTCCCTGTTGGCATTTCTGAAGAGTCCAGGCCTGTTCCCCTGAATGCCTTGTGATCTCCTCTTTCTGCTTGGTTCCTTGTTTCTTGCAAAAATAAAAAAATAAAAAAAAATTAATAGTTGCTGTCGTACAGCCCTAACTTATGCACTTGATGTTTGTCTTTCTGGAGACCTCTGTCATTGCTGCCTTTATCATGGAATAAATAAATCATGTTAAATGTGAAAAACCAACCCACTGTCCCGCAGCGGCAGCAGTATAAATGATCATTTAATTGTGCTCACCCTATTGTTGCATCAGGCTGTGAAACGATTCAGAGCCGTGGAGATGCTGTGTGTTGGCAGGAGTCAGTCCAGACGAGCATCCAGGAGGAACCTGTAGCTGCCTGGGAGGAAGGAGGGAGGACTGATTACCCAGACATCAGGTGGAAGTCTTAGCTCAGAATGGCCCTTTCGTTCCATCGTGACCGGCCTCCGCTCCATCCGGAGGGAAAGGAAGCGGGCTTTGCAGAGAGGAGAGGGCTGTTCTCCGTCTGCTCTCTCCCCGAGGAGGGACTCTGATGAGACGGAAGGGGCAGAGTCACGTGGGAAGTTGTTACGGTGGAAGGCCGAAGGCACGGGCTACGTCCACACACAGACTGCCAGAGGGCGCAAGGGAAAACAAAAAAGAATGCAGTGATCACAGATGGGAAAAGGCGGCATTCTCACCACACATCACCGATGAGCTCACGGAGGGGGAAAGTGAGGAGCACTGAGTGAATTGTAAGATAAAACCCATGTGGCTACTTAGAAAGTTCTGTAATCAAGAGTTTTATGGGAAGACGTATTGGCTGGTTAAGATTCTTCTGGATCAAATTAGCCTAGGTGGTTTAACAACAAGGAGTTTATTGGAAGGGCCGGCAGGAGGCAGGCACTTGCGGGGAGCCCTGGCAGCTGGAGGTAGGGCTGTCTTTTCAGGGCGCGTGAGCGTCATCTGGTCTAGGCATCTCCCCTTGGTCTTTGCTGTGTGTGTCTGCCACTGGCTTTCTCTCCTTCCCAGACCACATGGTGGACAACAGGGCCACTGAACAGCTCTTGAGTGTCTGTCACTGGTTCAGCATTTTGACATTTTGGGAGAGAAGGCTCTCTCTCTTTCCCACTTTGAGACCCCTGGGAAGGAAGGAATTGGTCCAATTTGTATCATGTGCTTATTCCCACCCAATCAGCTGTGGTCAGGGATGGTATTGGAGTTACCAACCCCATGGCAGATGGAGGGAGGCGAACAGTTCCTTAAAGGGGGTTGACTAGCAGACAGTCCAGAAGGTTCCACCCAAATAAACATTTGAACAAAAACAAATGGAAGGCCTAAGGCCCAGAATAGGTTGGTTTGATGAAGAAAACACTAGCAGTGATGGCAGAGTGTCAGGCTGTGAAGGGAAAGGGGAAGAAGTGGCCATTGCTTGAGAGTTTTGCTGACAAATGTCAGGAGGAAACTAGGACTAAAAATTCCAAGTTCTTCATTTCAGAAACTCTTTTTCCCACTAGAAGGGATGGGACAGACAAGCCTGACCCAACATTCACTGCTTTCTGTCTCAATAAATACTCAGAGTACCTGTGAATCCAGTTAACGTTACAGTTGGCATTGATTCAAACTGTATGCACTTCTCCATCATAATAAACCTAGAGCCAGCACCTCAGTTTTAAAGATAAGTTGTGGAATGCATAGAAACAGATCCGTGGTGATTTTGTCCATAACTTACTGTAAGTCTGCAGTGACATAGCTGTCAAAAAACATCAAATGTACTGTTAAAATTGTGTACAGGGTACTGCAAAGGTTCATGGGAAATTTGTTAGGAAAAAACTACATGATTTCAAGGTTTATTTTACATTAAATAAACTTATCTTTTAATGCCATTTTCCACAAACTGAAGTTCTCCATTATATACAAATATATATTGGGATTTCTAGATTTTGAGGACGTATGTGTATGTCTGAAAAAAAAAAGCACAAAGGAGAAAGTAAAAGTTAGGTTAAGCTGCTGCTCAGAATGCCCATGTCCATGTCCGAGTGCTGGTTGAAATCCTGGCTACTCCACGCTTCTGATCCAGCTTCCTGTTAATGTACTTAGGAGGCAATGGATGATGGCCCAGGTACTTGGATTCCTGCCACCCACATGGGAGACCTGGCTCCTGTCTTCATCCTGGTCTACTCTTGGCTGATGCTTCCATCTGGATAGTGAACCAGTAGATGGAAGATCCATCTCTCTGTCTCTCCTCCTCTCTCTGTCACTCAGCTTTTCAAACAACTGAATAAGTCTTAAAATGAATAAATCTTCAAAACAAAACCGGGGAGTCTAACTCAGGGCTGCCTGTTTTAACTGACTCAAGCATTTTTAAAATCTGTTCTCATCATCAAGTAAAAGAAGTTAAACAACAATTAACACCAAAGGGTGGGAAGTGACCAAGAAAAGATTCTGTGTTTTCTCCAGTACTTTTTAAAAATCAAGTCTCCTGAGGCATAATTTATACATGATAAAGGGCCTCCACCCTAAGTGAGAAAAAAGGGTCTAAATCTTAGAACAGCTATTTTTTTTTTTTTTTAGATTTTTATTTATATATTTGACAGGTAGAGTTAGACAGTGAGAGACAGAAAGGTCTTCCTTCCATTGGTTCACTCTCCAAATGGCCTCCACGGCCGGTGCTGCGCCAATCCAAAGCCAGGAGCCAGGTGCTTCCTCCTGGTCTCCCATGCGGGTGCAGGGCCCGAGCACTTGGGCCATCCTCCACTGCCCTCCTGGGCCACAGCAGAGAGCTGGACTGGAAGAGGGGCAGCCAGGACTAGAACCCGGCGCCCATATGGGATGCTGGCACCGCAGGCGGAGGATTAACCAAGTGCACCACCGCGCCAGCCCCAGAACAGCTATTAATAAGATGGACTCATTAATTATCTTTTTCTCCTTTTACCCTGGGTGGTTGACAGTGTGGTTGACAGTGTCCTCAGGGGCCTGACTGCAGGTAGAGTTTAGGAGCCACCTCTCTAGCAGTGGCTGAGAAGGGGGAGCCCCTCTCAAGCCAGGGCAGATGCAGAGCCAGCCATGCAGGGTCCCTTGCCGGAGTCCAGGGAGAGGGAGGTGAGGCCAATGCCCAAGGTGGGGCAGGAGAGGAGACTGTCCTTTGGTATCCATCCATATTTTCCTTACCTCCTGCCAATCCATCTTTTGTAGCCTACCAGCTCATCACGGTGGTGATCGCAGCAGCGGGAGGTGGGCTGCTGCTTATTCTGGGCATTGCATTGATTGTCACCTGTTGCAGGTAAGTGATGAGCGTTCAGATACTCGTTCTGTGTCTTTGCCTGTGCCTTGCAAGTGTCACTTCTTACTTTAAAGAATATTTGAAATGGTTTATAGTATTAAATCCTAATGTGTGTCTGAACCTTTAAAAAAAAAGGAGCAAGGGAAATTTATGACAGTTGGTACCTTCGAAGGGAAGTACATGGAACTTTACTTTTTTATTTAAGAGGAACAGCCAAAAAGCACAATCAACAAAAGAAAAAAGAGAGAAATTGGACTTCATCAATATTACAAACTTTTGTGCTCCGAAGGTCACTATCAAGAAAGTGAAAAGACAGCCCCAGAATGGAGGAAAACGTTTGTAAATCATATGCAGGGCCTTCAAAAAGTTCACAGAGATATGCATAAACTTTTTCAAACTATTTATTTATTTTAAAGATTTATTTATTTATTTGAAATTCATAGTTACACAGAGAGAGAAGGAGAGGCAGAGAGAGAGAGAGAGGTTTTCCATCCGTTGATTCACTCCCCAGTTGGCCGCAACAGCCGGAGCTGTACTGATCCGAAGCCAGGAGCCAGGAACTTCCTCTGAGTCTCCCACGCATGTGCAGAGGCCCAAGGACCTGAGCCATCTTCTATTGCTTTCCCAGGCCATAGCAGATAGCTGGATTGGAAGTGGAGCAGCTGGTACTTGAACTGGCGCCCATATGGGATGCTGGCTCTGCAGGCAGCAGCTTTACTCACTATGCCACAGCGCCAGCCCTTATTTATTTATTTATTTATTTATGAGAGAGCAAGAGAGATCTCCACTGGTTCACTTCCCAAATGTCTGCAACAGCAGGGGCTAGGCCAAGCCAAAGCCAGGAGCTGGGAACTCAATCCAGGTCTCCTGTGTGGGTGGCAGGGGCTCAGCTACTTGAGCCATTGCCTACTGCCTTCCAGGGTGCACAGTAGCAGGAAGCTGGAATGGGAAGTGGAGCCAGGACTCAACCCAGGCCCTGTCATAGGAGCTGAGGGCATCCCAGGGCAGCATTTTAAGCACTGCACCAAGCACCTGACCATCCATTACCTTTTAATACATTTTCCATGAACTTTTTAAGGTACTTTCAGGGACATGTATTTAGAATATAAAAAGAACACTTACCACTGAAGAGTAAGAATACAATTTAATTTAAAAATAGGCAAAGGATTTGAATAGCCACTTCTCCACAAAGGGTATTCAAATGGCGAGTAAGCACTTGGAAGGGTGCTCAGCGTCATTAATCATCTGGGAAATACAAATCAGAACCACCCTGAGACACCACTTTACACCCCTAGGAAAAGCAAACAAACAACTCTTGGTAAGGATGTAGAAAAATCTGGGGTCCGGTTTTGTGGCATAGGGGTAAGGCCACCGCCTGCAATGCTGGTGACCCATATGAACACTGATTTGAGTACTGGCTGCTCCACTTCCAATCCAGCTCTCTGTTATGGCCTGGGAAAGCAGTAGAAGATGGCCCAAGTCCTTGGGACCCTGCATCCGCGTGGGAGACCTGCAAGAATTTCCTGGCTCTTGGCTTCAGCCATTGTGGCCAGTGGGGAGTGAACCAGTGGATGGAAGATCTCTCTCTCTCTCTGCTTCTCCTTCTCTCTCTGTAACTCTTTCAAATAAATAAGTCTTTTAAAAAAATCAGAACCCGTATACACTGCTGATAGAAACAAAATGATACATTCACTTTGAAGAAGTCTACAAGTTGAATACAGCACTTTCACTCTTAGGTATATACCCAGGGGAAATGAATTCATATGTTCACACAAAAACTTGTACTCATATGATTGTTCATAGCAATGTCTTTCATAATAGCCAAAAGGCTAAAAACAACTCCCATGTTTATCAACTGATGAGTAAATAAATAAAACAGGATGTATTCATGTAATGAAGTATTATTCAGCCAAAAAAGGGAAAGAAGCTATTATGCGATCCTACTGATAAGAATTTTCTAAAATAAGCCAGTCTAAATAGAGACACAAAGTACATTAGTAGTATTGCCTAGGGCTGTGATGGTGGAGTGAGGCAATAGGAGAGACCTGAGGAGTGATGACTAAGGGGCCTGGGGCTACTTTTGGGGGGTGATAAAGTTGTCTTAAAATTGTGATGATGGTTGCGCAATTCTGAACATACTAAAAGCCAGTAAATGAGTAAATTGATGGTAAGTGAATTGTATCTCAATGAAGCTGTGTGTATATAGTCTATAGAGAGAAGCAAACCAAGAGAAAGAGGGAATTGACTTTTTTCGTGATTATTCAAATAAGAGGAGAGTAAGACCTTTGATTTAGGATGATAATTAATGGTAGGAATAACAGGTGGAGGAAGCCTCCCAAAATAGCAAGTTAGCTCTTCTACCATTGACTTAAGGCTATTTCAAGATCTCTTCTGTCCCCAATAAGGCCACAGAGAACAATTTGCCCTAACTGCCCATTTAGGAATGCAGGCCTTACAGTCTAGCCTTTGCTTATCATTTCCTAAAGTGCCATCAGATCATCAAAGATCAACCGTGTGAGTGGAAATAGACTTCTGGGTATGAGACGAAGCAGTTACCCAGAGGGACAGAGGCTGAATGCTCGGGGGTGCAGCCTCACGTTTGCTGTGTGTCTGTGTCATGTGGTGTGGCCGTTCCAGGAAGGTTGACTGGGAAGGGAAGGTAGTTATGAACCAGTAAGTCATTACTTAGGGACTGGACTGCCCCACTCACCAGGGAGCAGCACAGCGAGAGTCTGTTTTGAAATTGCACCAAGGGCCAACACCTAAGCCACACGCTGGATGTTTGGTTTTATTATCCTCAAGTCACTTTGTATGTTCGCCGGGAAATTCACTTATAGGAAAGTGAGATAGAAGGAAGAATCTTCAGACTATCTTATCCAAGGCAAATCTGACTTAAAGTGTCTGATCATAGGCCCGCTAGATAGGTGAAGAACGCATCGTCCAACATTGCTAGTAGTGAAATGTCACAGGATTTTTCTGACCTGCTGAAATGAGAATGGGTGTAGGTCTATAAGTAGGTGGGCTTTTTGGGGCAAATAAATCATCCTGTCTTTATGATTTGTAAAGTAGGAAGAGCACTGCCTGGGAGGGTGAGAGGCCTGACTTTGAGTCCCAGCTTTGCTGGTAACAAAAGGCGGCCCAAGGGGGACAAGTTGGGTCTCTTTACTGAGCCCCAAAGCTGCTGACTCAGTAGCCCACTCTGCCCACCCTTGTGAGTTCTGACGCTTGGGAGGATGGGAGCCTGGACTAGCCTTGTTAAGGGCCTCTGGCTGCAGCGTGCTGTGCGCTTGGGACTCCTCTTTCCCAGTCACAGTGACCCCTGTCCTCCACAGAGGCTTCAGTCTGCTCCTCTGCAGCTGTCTGTGACCTCCTGGCCCTGACGATCTGGCCCCTGCAAGGGATTTTTCGCATCTTTGTAAAAATTGTTTTAGGCAAATAATAAAAATAATGACAGTAGTAACACCCCACATTGGGCAACTTACAAAGAAACGTGATGGTGACTTTCAGTCTGAGTGAATGGTGAAGTGCTACGTGGTGCTCTCACAGATCCATTTCTTTACCAGAACCTATTCATAGAACTTTCTGAATATTTTTTATCCCGCAGAAAGAACAAAAATGACATAAGCAAGCTCATCTTCAAAAGTGGGGATTTCCAAATGTCCCCGTACGCTGAGTACCCCAAGAACCCTCGCTCACAAGAATGGGGCCGAGAAGCTATTGAAATGCACGAGAACGGAAGTACCAAAAACCTCCTGCAGATGACGGACGTGTATTACTCGGTGTGTATCCCCGCGCGCGGCGACCTCGGGTGCCATCGGCCCTGAGAAGCAGCGTTCCGTTTGTGGTGGTAGACGCACTCCCTGCTGCTGGTTGGGAGTTAAGAGGGTGGTGGCAAGGCCTCTCATTTGCAGCTTTCGTATTCAGTTTGCATCCTGTCTGTTGTGTATGGTATTTACTGATTTTGGTATTGAGCTATGAGGGCTATTTCCACATAGTACTTCAGTGGGATTTAGTGTTAACTTTCTTATTACTGAACTTGCTTTTAAGGTGTAGAAATGCAAACTAAAAGGAGGAGAAAGAACTCAGTGCTATTCAGCCCTTGGTCCATTTACCTTGTGCAGTTAAGTGAGTAAAACTGGGGTACAGAGGCATAAAGAGAACAAGTCAGTGTCGTCCTCCACAAGCGCACCTCACAAGGCCCACTGGATGGCGCACACGGTGGGGCTATGCTAACTCGCTCTGTCTAGCCCCGGACTGCTTCATTTGGAAAACAGGAGACCTTGAACCCTGGCTTCTTGCGTTGCACGTTGAATTTAACCCAGGTGTTCGTGCCCCTGTGTACTGCCAGTTCAGTTCACGTTCCTCTGTGTCAACCATAAATCAGACACACATGGGGCTAACTGAGCTGGAAAATAAATAGGGGTCAGGTGACTCCTTGTGCTCTGTGGAGCTGTTTGAGATACAGCAATAAATCTGAAACCTTGCCCCATGGGGCCTTAATGAAGTACTAGACAATCATGTTCAGGAGCTATAGGCCCCCTGGTTGCCATGGGAGTTAGACGGGAGGATTCAGACTTTGGATGGGAGTGGCAGTTTTGTTGATGCTAACAAGTAGTTTCGATAGACCTTTTTTTTTTTTTTTTCAAAAATTTGAACCCAGAGAACAAGAAGAAATAAGGAAAAAGGTAAACACAGACACAGACACAAGCTTAGCTTTAAGGTACTTGCACTGATATTTCTGCCTACGGCTTTGCTTTTTCTAATTTTTCCTCTGTTGGTCAGGAAGTCCCTTTTGCTTTCCTAGCGGAAGCCATAATTGTCCAAGTCTGCCCCCACAGGCACATGTCCTTTGCTAGGTCCTGCTCAGCCACAGTGGGATGAAATGGCTTTGTAGGTCCGAGTTTCACTGATGTTTCCACGGCTTTGGCCTTAAGTAGGTCCAGTGCGTGCACACCATCTTCGTAGTAGGCTGAGCAGCCTGTAGAAGCAGAGCCCAAGCCTACAGTGTGAGACCGTCACCCGGGCAGAGGAGCCGCCCCTCATGGTAGGCGCAGGTGTGGTCCAGGAGATCCCTGCATTGGGCTCTTAAATACTCCAGTTCATAATATGCAGCGTCTACTGGTGTGTTTCAGCTGGAAAGCATTTAGCTGTGTGCTCCTGTGAGCACCTCGGAGTAGCCTGGTACGAGTTTATTGTTTGGTTGGGTTTTTGTGTTTTTGTTGTGTTTTGTTTTTGTAGACCAGATGGTTGATTCATGACCCATTAAACAGGTATTGGATCAGACACCTGAGAATCACCAGTGGCCCCGGGAGGCAGGGGGGTGCTCACCATGTGGCCACTCTAGCAGTGGGAGTGGTGGTACCAGAAGCAGGTGGTGGAGTTTCCCTCAGCAGGGCGGTGGGTGGTGGAATGTGTATGCCATGGGCAGCTGAGGTGGGAGCCCTGCGGTGGCAATGGTGGTGGTGGTGGCGGGTGTGGGCAGTGAGCAAAGACGCAAGCCCCAAGGCAGCAGCAGTTGCTGACAGTATCTGGCTTAGAGCTTCTACAAAGGGGTCGTGGGGCCCTGTGAAGTTCACGTCAGTTGTCTTCTGCTAAGTGCCAGGGAGACTTTAAAGCCAGTTATGCTCCACAGAGAAAGATACTTTAAAAAAACAAAAAACAAAAAAAGGTAAAATAGTATCAGTGAAAAGGATTGGCACCATGGCCAAATAGAGGTATTCAGTGCTATCTTCCTCCTCCACAAATTAGAATCAGAAAACCCAATAAAGAGCTGCACTTTGAAATGAGTGGAACTGGAACCCAGCAACAGAGAGACAGGAAACCTGTAAGACACAGGGACCTGACGTAGTGGCACAGAGTGGAATAAAGTGCACCAGACAACCACAGCCCTAGTTCCTCAGTCTGGGGAGTCCCAGCAGGACCCATTGCCATGGAAACTGGCAACTCCAGTGATGGGAACTCCATAGGCCCCACAGTCTTGGAGCCCAGTTAGGAGAGTTACATGGAGTCTGCATCCCAGCTTTGCTTCAGAGCCCAACTGCTGCCACACAGCAGTGTGTCGGGGGCAGAGTCATGCTGCCAGCCCATCATTGAGTGAGGGCATGCACCCTGTGCCAAGCCCTGCCTGCAGCCACAGCCAGCCCAGAGTTGGCCCTGAGCACCTCGGAGCCTGAGTGTACACATGCTGCACTAAGTGTTCCTAGAAGCCACCAGCTGCTACCGGACCTAAAGGCGGGCACTCTAAGCTGGATACTGCCGGTGACCCCTGCTGCCCTAGGGCTTGTGCCTTTGCTAAATGCCCACCACCACCACCCACCCCAGGACTCCCACCTCAGCTGCCCCCAGTGTACACATTCCACACACCACACCCTCCTTGCTGAAGAAAACTCCACCACCTGTTGCTGGCACCACCACTCCCATTGTTAGAGTGGCCACATGGTGAGCACCCCCTACCACTGCAGTGTGTACATCTGCCTGGGCCACTGAAGTACCCCTTGCTCCACCTGGCTGTCAGAGTCACAAGCTCTTGGATGTCACCTCTGCAAGCGCAGCACCCAAAGCCATCGATTGAAGCCAGAGAAGCTATAGGGAGACCACACTAAGAGGCCACACGCAACTGGAATGAAAGCCGTCATAGCCTACCAAAGCAACCCCTTGTAACAGATAGACTCAGGAGAAAGCCACTACTGCAGAAGTCATCTTACGCAAGTGCTTGACACATCTGATCCACCTGATGTACAAATCTCAACATACGGCCACAAGAAATATAAAAACTAAGGTAGCATGGTGACTCCAAAGGAACTCAATAACTCTAGCAATAGACCTCAAAGAAGTGGAGACTGACATTCAGAGGAATGATCATAAGAGAACTCAGTGAGATAGAAGAGAATACAGATAGTTTAACAAAATTAGGAAAATGATATGTGGTATGAATGAGGAATTCAGCAGAGACAGAGATCTTATAAAGGAAACAAATATTAGAAATGGGAAAACTTAGGGCCGTTGCTGTGGCGCAGCAGGTTAACTCCCTGGCCTGAAGCGCCAGCATCCCATGTGGGTGCCGGTTCAAGTCCCGGCTGCTCCACTTCACATCTAGCTCTCTGCTATGGCCTGGGAAAGCAGTAGCAGTAGAAGACGGCCCAAGTCCTTGAGCCCCTGCACACACATGGGAGACCCGGAAGAAGCTCCTGGCTCCTGGCTGCAGATCAGCACAGCTCCAGCCGTTGTAGCCAATTGGGTAGTGAACCCTCGGATGGAAGACCTCTCTCTCTCTCTCTCTCTCTCTCTCTGCCTCTGCCTCTCCGTCTCTCTGTGTACCTATGACTTTCAAATAAATAAATAAATCTTAAAAAAAAAAGAAATGGGAAAACTCAGTAAATCAAATAAGAAATACAGCTGAAAGCCTCAACAGCGGACTAGATGAAGCAGAAGAAAGAACACCTGGACCTGAAGACTTGTCTAATATCCTATTAGACACAAACACACATGTAAGAAAAACAAAAGAATTAAGACAGCTTCTAGGAACTTTGGGACACCATTAAACAAATATTTGAAAATTGAGGGGGTTCCTGAAAGCAAAGAAAAAAGAAAGGCGTAGAAAACCTATTCAGTGAAATAATAGCTGAAAACTTCTTCACTCCTGGGAATGCTGTGGTCATCTAGATACAGGAGGCCCATGGGACCTCAAATAGACATGACTCAAAAAGATCCTTACGGCGGCATGTTACAGCCAAGCTGCCCAAAGTACAGCACAAAGAGAATTCTAAAAACTGCAAGAGAGAAGCTCCGAGTCACGTCTCAGGGCCCCCAGCTCTCCCCTGTTAGACTAGCGGCAGATTTCTCAGCAGAAACCTTACAGGCTGGGAGGAAACAGAATGGCCTGGTTCAAGTTCTGGAGGAACAAAGGTGCCAACCAAGAATACCCAGCAGAGATACCCTGTGTACATGAATGAGAAATAAAGACTTCCCAAGACAAGCAAAAACTGAGGGGATTCATTGTCACTGCACTGGCCTTATAAAAGATCTTAAGAGAATCCTACATCCAGAAGCAAAATAAAGATAACTACTATTTATGGAAACATGTAAAAGTATAAAGCCCACTAGAAGAGCAGATAAACAAAAGAAAAATAGGAAAGAATCAAACCTTATCATACAGTAAACCACAAAGATAAACAACAGGAAAGGAAGAAAAGAACAAAGGATATTTAAACAAAAGAAGAAAGTTCTCTTAATGCTAGAACTTTGTTTTTACTTGCTGATAGTAACCTTGAGTGGAAACAGACTAAATTCTACCATTAAATGACCCAGTGGTATGCTGTCTACAAGAAATTCATTTCACTAGTAAAGACACATAGACCAAAAGTAGAAAAGAAAACATTCCATGCAAATGGAAACTAAAAACAAATAATCAGATAAAATAGATTTTAAGACAAAAACTGTAAAAAGACAAGACCAACTGAAGAAGATAGAACAATTGTAAATATATATGTTTCTACTGCTAAAATACCCAATTTTATAAAGCAAATACTAAAAGGAGACATAGGCTTCAATATATAGGATTTTTGAAAGGTCATGAAAAATGAATTTAAAAGATATGTATTTTTTGATGCAATAAAATTGAAATTCATGCATAGTTTATTCACAATATGCATTTTCCACAATCTTTGAGCACCTCTCCAATGCTCCACTTTCATCAATGGACAGTGTCCAAACAAAAAAAATCATCTATGCTAGACCTCATGGACATAGCAGACATTTAAAGAACATGTCATCCAACAGCTGCGGAGTAAACATTCTTTCCATCAGTACATGAACATTCCCCAGGACAGGCCACACATTAGGCCCCAAAAGTAATCTTAGCTAATTCAGAAAAAAAATCAGCATTGTATTATGTATCTTTTCCAACCACAATGGAATAAAACTAGAAATAACAGGAAAAGAAACTTTAGAAGTTGTATAAATAACATGGCGCTATGGTGTAAAATAGATAGGGCTCATGTAGACATAAGTCATAAATGGACGGTACTAGGAAAAGGAAACTGAATCCAGTTATGGTGTTTAGGAGGTGGGCCCTGTGACCTCAGAAGGTAGTTCTGTTAAGAGAGTTGATTACAAAAGCACAAGTCAAACCCAACCTTTGCTCTATGCTTCCTGGCACTCCATGTGATCCTCCTCAACTATTCCACCACTGCCATCTGTCCTCATCAGAGGCCAAACCAAAGGGATTTCCTGATCTTGGACTGTGAACCTCCAGAAAGAGCCGTGGGCCAAAGTAAAGATCTTTCCTTCTTAGGAGTTTGTCTTAGGTATACCATTGTAATGACAAAAAGCTCAAGAATACACATGGAGTTGAAACAACATGCTATTGAACAAATAATCACTCACAGAAAAAAAGTCAAAGGGCAAATTTTAAAGTTTATTGAAACATATAAAAGTTAAATACAACATGCCAAAATTTATGGGATACAGCAAAAGCAGTTTTAAGAGGTAAGTTTGGGGGGCCGGTGCTGTGGCATAGCGGGTAAATCTGCCACCTGAGATGTTGGCATCCCATATGGGTGCCAGTTCCAGTCCCGGCTGCTCCACTTCCAATCCAGCTCTCTGCTATGGCCTGGGAAAGCAGTAGAAGATGGCCCAAGTGCTTGGACCCCTGTACCTGCTTGGAGACCCGGAAGAAAAGAAGCTTCTGGCTCCTGGCTTCAGATCAGTGCCGCTCTGGCCATTGCGGCCATCTGGGGAGTAAACCAGCAGATGGAAGATCTCTCTCTTTGTCTCTACCTCTCTAACTCTGTCTGTCTTTCTATATATATATATATATATATATATATATATATATATAAATTCTACATATCTTCATGATAAAAACCCTGAATAAACTAGGTTTAGAAAGTATACATGACAAACTTGCAGGCAATATTATACTGAATGAGGAAAAGTTGAAGGGATTTCTTCCAAGATCTGGAACAAGACAAGGACATCCTCTCTCACTGATCTTACTCAATCTAGTGTTACAAGTTTTAGCCAGAACAGTTAGGCAAGCGAAGGACTAAAAGGCATGCAAATAGGAAGGGAGGAAGTCAGCTAATTCCTTTGTGCAGGTGATAGGATTCTGTGTACAGGGGAATTTACGGACTCCACCAAGGAACTGTTAGAACAAATCAATAAGTCAGTAAAGTTGCCGGATACAAAATCAACACACAAGAATCAGTAGCATTTTTATAATTAACTTGCTGGTAAAGAACTTGTAAGAGCATTTCCATTCACAATAATCACACACAGAAAAATAAAATACCTTGGAATAAATGTAATCAAGGATGTGAGGTCTCTACAGTGGAAACTAAAAAATACTGATGAAAGAAATTAAGAAGACATGCAGGAAATGGAAAGACTCCCATGCTCATGGATTGGAAGAATTAATATTGTCAAACTGTCAATACCACCCAAAATGATTTTCAGATTCAGTGCAATCCCCATCAAAATACCACGACATTCTTCACAGAACTAGGGGGAAAATTCCTAAAATTCCTCTGGAAAAAAAAAATACCCCCAAATCACCAGAGCAGTCTTGAACAAAAGGAACACAGCTGGAAGTATGATAATATCTGATTTGAAGACATACTAGAGAGCCATAGTAACCCAAATAGATCCTGGCATGAAAACAGACACATGGACCAATGTAATAGGATAGAAATCTCAGGGAAAAACCCATGTGTCTATAGCCAAATGATTCTTGACAAAGGCAATGAAAATATACAGAGAGGGGCAGGCATTTAGCACATGGTTAAGACACTGCTTGGAACACCCACACGGGTTCAAGTCCCATCTCCGCTTCCCATTTAGCTTCCGGGTAACGTGCTCCTTGAGGGCAGAAGATGATGGTGCAGTACTTAGCTCCCTGCCACCTATCTGAGAGACCCTTATTGGATTCTGGTCTCCTGGCCTCAGCCTGGCCCAGCCCCAGCTATTGGTGGGCATTTGGGGGGTGAACCAGTAGATAGAAGATCTCTTTTTGTTCATGTGTGTGTATGTGTGTGTCTTTGTGTCTCTCTATTTCTCTGCCTTTCAAATAAAATGAAAACAAGTAAAACAAATAAACTTTTTTAAAAAAACATGCAGAGAAAAGACAGCATCTTCACTGAATTGTGCTGGGAAAACTGGCTCTCCATATAGAAACGCCCTAAACTTGACATTGCACTCCCATCTCTAATGACATACAAAAATCAACTCAAAGTTGATCAAAGGCCTGTATTTAAGACCTGAAACTATGCAACTACTAGAGAAAACATAAGGGACCAAGCACAGGAAATGAATCAAAAAATAGGCAAATGGGTTTGTACCAAACTGAGGACGGTTCTACACAGCAAAGAAAATAGTCAAGAGACAACTGACAGAATGGGAGAAAATATTTGCAAGCTATTCATCTGACAAAAGATTGATACCCAAAATATGTAAGAATCTCAAAACACTTAACAAAAATATAACAAGTGAGCATGTGATCTGAACAGACATTTCTCGAAGAGAGACCAATGGCTGATAAGTATGTGGGAAAATGCTCGATATCATTAGCCATCAGGGAAATGAAAATCAAGACCACAGTAAGAGATCATCTTACCCCAATTAGAATGGCTGTTATCAAAGGGACAACAACAGATGCTGGTGAGGCCATTGATAAAAAGGAACTCTTACACTCTGTTGGTGGGAATAGAAATTAATAAGCTATTATGGAGAACAGTATGGGGTTCTTAAAAATCTGAAAATAGATCTGCCATATGACCCAGCCATCCCACGTCTGAGTGTACATCCAAGGAAGTGAAGTCACAGATACCCGCACTCCCATGTACACTGCAGCGCTGGTTACAGTAGCCAAGCTGCAGGATCAACGTGGGTGCCCCTCAGTGGATGCGGGGGTGGGGGAAACGTGGTCAGTACACACAACGCACTGTTGCTCAGCCAGCGGGAAGAATGACGGCCTGGTAGCAAAATGGATGGAAGTGGAAGGCATTTTGTTAAGTGAAATAAACCAAGCATGGAAAGGTGAACACCACACATTAGATGTGGAAGCTTTAAAAAAAAATCCATCTGAATGTAGAATAGTGATTGGTAGAGGGTGGGGTTAAAGGGAGGTTGGATAATGGGAACCTGAATGCAGAAGGATGTGTTCCACTGTTGTGTAGCACAGTAGGGTGGCTGTAGTTCACAAGAACCTGTTACATATTATATGAAGAACCACAAGAGAGGAGCTCAAAGCATAAAGAAATAATGAACTAGAAGTGCTGATTACTGTGTGTTCATCAGCACATGCTATATGTCTTGAATGATCACACATTGAACCCCATAAGGATGGACAGTAATTACATGTTAATCAAGAAAATGTATAAAACCCTGTGAAATGTAAAAAAAAATAAATTTAGTAAAAATGATAATAATCATCATACAGGGTAAACCATGTTTTTTTTTTTTTTTTTTTTTTTTGACAGAGTGGACAGTGAGAGAGAGACAGAGAGAAAGGTCTTCCTTTGCCGTTGGTTCACCCTCCAATGGCCACCACAGCCAGCGCACTGCGGCCGGCGTACCGCGCTGATTGGATGGCAGGAGCCAGGTACTTCTCCTGGTCTCCCATGGGGTGCAGGGCCCAAGCACTTGGGCCATCCTCCACTGCACTCCCTGGCCACAGCAGAGAGCTGGCCTGGAAGAGGGGCAACCGGGACAGAATCCGGTGCCCCGACCAGGACTAGAACCTGGTGTGCCGGCGCCGCAAGGCGGAGGATTAGCCTAGTGAGCCGCGGCGCCGGCCCCATGGTCTTTTCTTACCTTAGTCTAAAGTCACTGGGCTGCCCTGAATTAAGGGTTTTGTTTTTGTTTTGTTTTTTAAATGAGGCAGGGCTGATGTTGGCACAACCAGTTAAACCATCACTTGCCACACCAGCGTTCTGTATTAGAACGCCAGTTCAAGTCCTGGCTACTGTGCTTCTGATCCAGCTTCCTGCTAGTGCACCTGGAAAGGCAACAGATAATGACTCGAGTGCTTGAGCCGCTACCACCCAAAGCGGAGACCCAGACGGAGTTCCAGGCTCCTGGCATTGGCCTGGCCCAGACCTGGCTGTTGTGGCCATTTGGAGAGTGAACCAATGGATGGAAGATCTGTTTCTCTCTCTCCTTCCCTCTCTCTGTCTCTGTCTCTCTGTCTCTGACTCTGGCTTTCAAATAATAAAGTAACATAGGGCAAATGTGTATCAGATTCCATAAAGAGACTTACCTGCTCTGCTTTTTATAATTGCTTTCATTTTAAGTTTATTTAAAAAATAGCATTTTCTTAAAAAAAAAAAAAAAGTTCAACTTAAGAATAATCAATGAGCTTTCCTTTTCTTTTTGGCAACCAGCCCACGAATGTAAGGAATCCTGAACTTGAACGAAATGGACTGTATCCGGCCTACACGGGATTGCCCGGATCACGGCATTCTTGCATTTTCCCTGGACAGTATAACCCATCTTTCATCAGCGATGAGAGCAGAAGAAGAGACTACTTCTAAATCCAGGAAACAGAGGGGGACCCATTGCTCTGAGCCAGTTCCCTGGGCTCTCCGTGGCTCGGAAGACTGCAGCAGGCACTGGCCGCTCCCAGGACTTGTCGGAGCCCCCGTGAGTGGCAAGCAGGAGGGACGAGTGTGAGGGACATGACCGCAGCGGAAGGGGACGGATGCATGTGGAACTGCAGGCTGCTCATCCAGCACCATTGTCGTTACTGTGAACGTGAACGTGAACGTAGGCCAGTGCCAGGAGAGTCTCTGAGTGACAGCAGCCCGGCACTGGGGCCAGAGGTGACTGTCAGCCGAGGCAGCCCAGTAGGCGTCTTCACCAGGACCCAGTTTTCCCTTAGTTTGCACTTTAGTAAATCGGGCAGGGAGGCTTCCTTTTGGATTTCTTTCAAGGCTGTTCCAGAAAGGAGGCTTCCTTTCCCGAAACGCCTCCACAGGTCGCGAGTTGGTGATTCATTTGCAGCCAGGCGCTGGCCCCCTGGTTGTTTTCCTGCCCAGTGCCTGTGTGCTGAACAGCAGGTGCGCATGAACGTACTACTAAGATTGAAGTTGCTGCGGCTGGGTGTACAGTGCGTCAGTGTTTCTCGGTCATCTTGAGCCACAATTTTTAAGCCAACACCCAAATAAGGAATTGAAATTTGTGAGGCATGGCACACAACGCCAGTTTGGGTTTTTAGTTAAGGTGATAACATTTTTCTAGGACTGGGTGTTTTTTTCCCCTCCCTTTACAGTTAAATCTCAATTTTTCAAATAAGTCGGGATTGTGGCAAAACGACAGTTGGTTTTAGTTAGAGGCATCCAGCTACCCTGTGGTGGGAACCAGCAGGCAGAGTGGCCAGGGGGCACCTGTCATCCGGGAGGGCATTGCATGGGGCCCAGGGCTCTGACCACCACCACTGAGGCCAGAGGATGCATAAATAAGTAGAAACAGGAAGCTGGATGCAGGGGTTGGAGCTGGTGTTTCACCACTGGAGGGAAAGGAGCCTGCTATGGTGGCCTCTGCAGCCGGGCGTGGTTAAAGGAACGGGCTGAGCAGGGAAGGGGGATTGCCAGCGTCACCGGTGCTTTGGGAAGCCCTGGGTTGCTGAGGAAGAAGAGGGAGCTAGGATGGAGCCGTGGGGCAGCGTGCTGACCTGTTAGTGCCGTGTCTTTGTGTCCGTAGTCTCGTCCAAAGGCTCGGTGCAAGCTTTCAACCACTCAAGGCTATTCATTGAGGAGATAACTTATTTTTTCTTACCCCGTCGTTTGTACCTCGTTCCGCTACTGTGTAGTACCCTACAGAAATGTGGTTAGAGTTCAGGTCAGCGTTGGAGAACTGAAGACTTCTGGCCAGGCAGGGCTGCGAGAGCTTGCCTTCCTTCGGCAAGGAAGTTGCACGCGCCTGGTTCATTCTGCCTGTGATGGAGGCCGTGGCCTGTGCTCAGCGCCCGCGGAACTGTGCTCCTGATCCCGCTTTTGGAACGCCCTGGGTGTGGGTGAAGTGAACTGAACACAGAGGCAGAATCGTCCCCACCCTGCCGCTGGGGGCGCAGTGGCACACCCACTTATGGAAATGGCGCAATTCCGCCTGGGCTTGGTGGTTTCTTCTTGAAACTCCTCAACGTGTGGTTTTCAGCGTGAGCTGCCATGTTCCTTGGTCTCCCTGACCAACCACCACCTGCTGGAGCAGGAACGCTGGTCAGGTGCAATGCGTTTTGCCAATTGCACGGCACTCATGAGCTAAATACAAAAAGAAATCTGGTTTTTGTCTGTGGATGCTAACTTGAATTTTCAAAGCATCGCCTTTTTGAATACTCGGGTCTTGGCGTCCGTCTCTCCATGGAACCAAATGGTCCTCTGTGCCCCGCTGGCTCAGCCCTCACTGGAGAGCCCCGAGCCCCTGAACTCCAGTCGCCCGGGCCAATACACGTGGCTCCTTTTGAGGCAGCCTCGCTTCCCGGCCCTTCCGCAGCTACGGGAGGGGCCGCGGAGGGAGCCGTGCGCAGGAGCACGCTCTGCCTCGTGCTGACGTCACTCCAGCTCCTATTTCGGGGCCTGAAGCTGTAAGCTCCGCAGAACGAAGGGTTCTGTCCCCAAAGCAGTCTTGGGAAGGATCCCAAGCCCAGAAAAGAGTGAGCTTCAAGAATACCCTCCTGTTCCTGAGCCTTTTTTGAATGGAGTGGGTTCAGAGTGTTTGGTTTTTGTCGTCGTTTTACTGTGAAAAAAAGGAGGCGCCATGCAAGGTGGCGTCCACGCAGCCTCTGGTTTCCTGGAGGCTTGCTGAGGTGGGAAGGCGTGGGAAGAGCATAGCTGGCCTCCAGCGCCTGCTGCCCGCCTGGGGCTGACACCCGCGGAAGGATCCTGCTGAGGCCATGCGTGGCGAGAGCCTGTGGACGAGAGAGAGGGCAGGATCGCGCACACAGAAACGCCCTGGGTGGGACCCCACAGCGGGGGAGAGGTGGGAGGGAGGGGCAGGGGACCCTGCCTGTGGGACGCTTCAGCTGCTGCCGGGAAGAGCCAAGCCAGGTGGACCCATGTGTCCCAGAGCGCCCTGGGGCGCGGCTGCCCAGCCCCGGCTTGGTGTCGTTAGAGGGTCTTGACTTCCACCGAAGTGCCTTCTAGCCCCGGGCACTGGGCTGTTTCCTTAGGAGGGCACATTCACGTCGCTCGGTACCTGCCCTCACAGCACCCTTGTGAGGTTGCAGATGGAGGAGCCTTAAGAGAGGGTAGAGCGCTCCCCCGCTCGGGCCCTCACAGCCCTGTCTGCCGGCTCACACGTTCCTCCTTCCACCCGCGCCTGCCCACCCTCAGAGAGGGCAGGAGAGAATGTGCTTAAATACGTTTCTTTTAAAGAACCTTAATATTACTGAGCAGAAACCAAACAAAGCATGCGAAGGTGCTGAATGCCCTTTTGGAACTGTCCCTTCAGATTGGTTTTTAGATCTGTAGAAGCGGTTTGGTATGTGGCTTTGGCTGAGGGCGGGGCAAGGCGAGGACCCGGGTGTCTCAATCAGCACAGCCAGACTCACGCATCCACCTGCGGGCAGTTTTGCCTTATTCCCATAGTGAGGCCATGGCTCGGCTCGCAGGCGTTGAAAGCTGTTTTGGTGAACAGCTCAGACATTTGAATGTGAATGCTGACACATCTCCCTCTCTTGGGGGCCACCTGATTTTAGAAGCGCCAGAGCCGTTCAGAGCCACAGTTTCTGAGTGGATGGCACAGTCGGGCTGACTGATGGCACTTCAGGCCAGAAACCAAGGTAAGACTGGTGCGTTCCTGAAGGATTTAGATGGCCCAAAGGAGAGGGCTGCGTCTTTGGAAGATGAGGCCGGGGGGCTACCCACAAAGTGGCTCCGAGTGATGGCGTCCATCCAGGTGTGAGGGTTCCGGAGCAGGCACGTGGCTTTCTGGGGTCTCAATCAGTCCTCTGATGAGGTCCCCAGCCACCCTGCAGCTCTTGAACTTGGCCTGAGGAAGGAGAGCTGCCCTGCCCAGTGGCCTGTGGCTAAGCTTGGCTTCACCCACCCCCAGGAAGGGCTGTGGCCCGGAGCTCTGACTACACTGGCTTTGAGATGAGAGCACTTCTGTGGAGAGAGGAAGAACGTCGAGTTTGGAACGTCAGTGTTCGTGTTTTTGTTGAAGTTGCCTTTAATACCAGAGACAGTTTTTCTGTCTGCAAGGTTTGGTGGGGAGCAGAAGGAATGTCTTATTTCCTGCTGGTGGACAAAGCGTCGCCCCAAAGTTCTCGCGTGTTTTGGAGGTAGATGTGCTTCTGTAGACTTTGCCTTTGAATCTGGGTTCTCCTTTCCTCCAATCTCCAAAGATCAGAGCCAGTTAAAGCCGCAGGAGCACGGAAGCGCTAGATGCCGGTGACTTTCTACTACAGTATCTCTCACCTCATCTCATCTGCTGTAAGCTGCTCACTGGAGGCCTGTGAGACCAGGGGGAGCCAGGTCCCAGGCTGGCTCTGCCCACCGCCGCCAGGCCTTTTCAAGGAGAACATGTCAGAGAATTTGCATATTCAGTTCTGCTTTTATTTTGTTGTTGTTTTGTTTTGGGTGCCCAGTGCTTGGGGAAAGATGGGGTGGCGCTGTCTGCGTGGGAAACTGACCCAAATCCCCTCTCGTTCTGTGCTACCTTGGCCTGTTCTAAAAAGGAAATGATTGTTCCATCACGAGTTGCTGTGAGTTTTGTAGTCTGTGTTGCAGGATTTGTGGGTAAATGAAGTGTGAGGCTGGAATCTGAGCGTTTGGAGTTTTCACATTGTCCTGGATTTTTCTCTTTGTAACCCTTTAAGCCCCAGACCCTGGTTGACTGTGTTAAATCCATTATGAGAATGTTATTTAAAGTTGTGTTATCATTGCAACCTCCACTAATTATTCAGTACTGTAGCAGCAAAGTATTATTTGTAAGAATTTGGTTATTTTTATATTTGTATCCACTATAAGTCTGGCGTTCTAGTCAGTAAAATGATGCAATAAAACTAATATCATTTTCATCATTTCTCTCTTCATAAGCAAACTGGCCCAGAGAGCAGCAAAGCATCCTTCCCTGAGGGGATCACTCCTGCCTGGCTGCACGGGCACTGAATGATTGCCCTGTGCTCCGTGCCCAGTGGCGAGGAATGACCCTCTTGAATGCAGAGTGCATGTGTGGATGGACAGACGGGCGGGTGGGACTGACCCAGCCCGTCTCTGATAGAATGCCTGCCTCTGCTTCCGTTTTCTCTGTGAAGAGCATAAGTACAAAGTCTCGGGGTGACTGCCTCCCTGCGCCACTGCGTGCCAAGTCCTCAGATCTGGGAGGAGGAGAGATGGCACGCCTGGGTGCTGGCGGAGACAGTGGGCCACGGGCCTGACGCCTTGGGCGGCCGGGGCATGTGGCTGCAGCACCCAGTGCGTGTTCTTTGGGGAGTGGCTTTCGTGAATGCTCCCCGTGGAGAAAGCACGAGCCCTTCATGCACTTCCTGGCAAAAAGCCTGGCACTAGGGGAGGCCAACCCAGGAGTGTGGGACGTGACGGTGACCTCAGGGCTGTGGCCCCTGGAGCCATTTCTGAGTGGAGATGAGCAGCAGCAGCACTGGCCCAGTAACAGGGCCCCCTGAGCCCACAGCCAGAGCTCAGCCCCACACCCTCCTGTTCCTGCCCAGCTCGGCAGACATTCCAAACCACGTCATTTCCAGACTTTCACGCCCCTGATAGTGAGTTTTATTGTTAATTTTAGTTTTAGAAATTGTATGTATTTCAGATATGCAGCATGACGTTTTGATACACATAATGAAATGATCACAATAGGCAAGCAAACCAGCCTGTCCCTCGTGTCACACGGTTACCCCTTGGTTTGTGGACGTGTGGTAAGAACACCGAAAATTCGTGCTCAGCGGACGTTTCAGTAGGGAGTACAGTCCTCCTATCTGTGGTACCCACGCCGTGTGCACCACTCTGGGCAACTCGCAGTCACACAGGGTGGGGGAGACCGCCCCTCACCTACTTCTCCCCATTTTCCTCCTGGTCCCCTGCTCTGCTAGGTTGCTGGGTTTTGGAGTCTCTCACAGACACCACAATGTCTTTCTCCAGCCATCTGTTGATGAACTCTTCAGTGGTTGCCATAGCTTGGCATTGTAAATGATGTGCGCCCCGGGAACTGTTCCGACCCTGCAGTGGGAGGCCCTTCTGCTGTGCACAGCACATCGTGCCTCTCGCCTGCAGTGCCGAGCCTCCACCCGAGGGCTGGACCTGCGGGCAGGTAAAGATCTCAAAAATATTTTTAGACACTTGGACACCAAAGACATTCACGGTGGGCTGTGAGCCATTTTCCAGCGAGAAGCAGCAAGGGGGCGCAGTGGAGACAGCATGCAGGTAGGGGCATCCTCCTGACCCGGGGAAGAGGCCACAGGGCAGCTTTCAGATCCCAGAACTGGACTTCGGCATCGGGCAGCCAGCCACACAGCCAGTGGGGACTGCAGGGGGTGAGACACCAGGAATAAAGGTTCTCGTGTTGATTTTTACTGCCCTCCAGGTTCAGAATTAAAACTTGTAGTAATGGGGCTGGCACTGTGGTATAGCGGGTAAAACTGCCGCCGGCTGGGCCAACATCCCATATGGATGCTGGTTCTAGTCCCAGCTGCTCCTTTTCCAATCCCACTCTGCTATGGCCTGGGAAAGCAGTAGAAGATGGCCCAAGTGCTTGGGCACCTGCACCCATGTGGGAGACCTGGAAGAAGCTCCTGACTCCTCGCTTCGGATTGGCCCAGCCCTGGCCATTGCAGCCATCTGGGGAGTGAACCAGCAGATAGAAGACCCTCTCTTTCTCTCCCTCTCTCTCTCCCACCCCCTCTCCCTCTCTCCCTCTCCCCCTCCCCCTCCCCCTATCCCTCTCCCTCTGCCTTTCTGTAACTCTGCCTTTCAAATAAATAAATCTAAAAAACAAAACACTGCTGGTACAAGACACCCTCAGCTGCTTTTCCCAGCTCATGATGTCAGGACTAAGAATCTGTTGCGCTCTCTCAGCCTCAGCATCCTGGTCGGGAAAGTAGGGATGATAATTATTGCCTTGCAGAGTGGTGAAGATCACAAGGGGAAATGGAAGCATTTTGTTAACTATGAAGACGCGGCTCACGTTCGTTCTCTTCAATAGGACCCTCTCGTCACCAACAGAAGGAAAAGCGGTTGCAGGAGTGATGGGTCATTCTGCTGCTAATCAGTAGTACTGCCCAGGACCTTGGCTTGTCCGAGCGTCTGCATTCACCCCCCCCACACACACACTCCTCCAACCACCTGAAGGCGGTGGGGGCATTAATGGGCTCAAAATCCTAACTCTGTAGGGACAGGAATCAGCACTATCATGTGAGACATTGCATGTTCAGTGCCCGGCACCCCACAGGCTTTCACTAAAACGACGCAGGCGCGTTAATCATCCCTCAGAATACATGCGTAAAAGTGAAAGGTTCTGGAGATCTAGCGCCCCTAGTGGCTGCAGGCTGTTGGCTGGCTGATAGCCGAGGAATCCGAGTAGAGCTGGGCGAGAGGTGGGCTGCTCAGGGGTTCTTGTCTTCCGCATAAGAAAGAATTCAGACGCGAGACCGCCGCGAGAAGCGGTCAGGCAGGCGGCGAAGTGGATAATGAAGGGAGCGCCCCTGATAGGCCAGGCGGCCGTCTCAGGCGAGGGCTGAGAGTACAGCCTGCCCTCAGAAGGGACTTTCTATGGACGTGAGTGTGGGGCCCTGTTCCTCTTCTGGGAAGTTGCGGGTAGGGCTTCCTGGATGTGGAGTTCCAGAATCCTCCCAGGTGTTATCAGCACAGTGTTATCGGACCTAATAGGTTCCTTGGGCAGGGCAATGGGCATTCCTCAGAGCTGGCCCCAGGGAGAGGGTGGCAGCCACCCGGCCAGGGTTCCGGAGCAAGAGCTGTTGGCACAGGTGTACTCGCTGCTCTGCTCCCAGGGCTTGTTTCTTCGTCTCATTGCACACAAATTCATTTTCTTAAAAAGTCCTCACCTTCTTCCCGTTTTCTTCGGCCCCTCATACACTCACAGGCTATGACGCTGAACGGGGGCCCTTAGCAAAGATCGCGTGTAGCCGAGCTCAGGTGGGCATCTGTGGGGAGGCGGCTTTAAAGATGTACTAGGAAGCCCTTCTGCGTGGAGCAGCTGTGGAATGGGATACAACTCAGCGGTTGCAAGAGACCCACTGCGGCAGACTTAAGCGTGGGCGCATCCCACAAACAGCGCGCTAAGTGAAAAATCGGTGGGCGCCAAAGGCTGCGGCCTGTGTGGCTCCAGGTCTAATATGTTCCTGAAAGGAGATCCACAGAGACAGGAAACCGGGAGCGCTTGCCTGGAGGCTGAGGCGGGGGGGATAGTTACTGTCCTCCGGGTGTGTTCTGCCTTCCTCCGGCTCGGCTCGCACAAGGTCGGCTCTAGCTCCCCAGCCCTCTGAAGTGTGGCCATGGGACTTGCCTTGCACAAAGAAGTGGGAGTGGAAGTGCAGTTTGTCACTTTGGGGAGGAGAGTGTGTGGAGCTGCCGGCTTTCCCCACCACAGTCATGGGGAATGGGTGTTGGGATGGCACCGCTGTGGGCTGGGACCCCGAGCGCCCAAGGTGGACACAGCCCCTTCCTGCTCGGGATGGACATAAGGGAGCGGAAGCAGACTTTGGCTGTGATGAGGTGTCGCGGGAAAGCTGGTGAGATGAGTCGGGCTTGGTGTCCTGTGCCCATGACAGTTTGTGAGACTGGACACAACGGTGAGAAGAGAAGAAGCGGAGTTTTACTGGAATGGAAGACAGAGAAGCTCTGAGCAAGTTGGGGGGTGGGGCGCTGGTGGAGACAGGCCAAACCCCTGAGGTCTCACGGTCTAGGGGTGTTTGTATGTCTTTAACACGTCATCTCCGAAGAGCAGATGTAGTGGTTATACATTAGCTACCGCGAAGGCAGGTGCAGTCTTAATGGAGCCCTTGCTAATTTGTTTTTAGTCAAAACCTAAATCTTGTCCTTCGACAAATGTTTGTTAGGATGGACTTTTGTCCTGTTTTGTCTGGTGTGTAGGTGCTGGCAAGGAGCTGTGGGCTGGAGTTAGTCTGGCCTGCTTCTAGTCCCGGGCTCCCGCACAGGCCCTGAGGTTTAGGTGCTGTGTTGTGAACGCAACATTTCTGAGCCCCTCGGAGGAGCACATCTCTCCAGGAGTAGCACGGCAGTGCTCGTGCAGCTCAACATGACCGCATGCCTCCTGCGCCCATGCCATGGGTCGTTTATGATTCTGGTGGGAATTCTGCCACTAGGTTGTTTGAATTTTTTTTTTTAACAAGTGTTCAAATCAGAAACACCGAGCGAATGGGTCCCATTTGGGGAACCTGCTATGTGACACTTTGTGTTATGGATGGGCTTGTGATCCAGAATGACCTCGTTTGAAACTCCCGTCCTTGCTTGTTAACTGCAGGTGCTTTGTAAATTTCCCAGCTAATCCAAACATTAGCTTTCCCCTCTTCAAGGTACAGGTAATGATCATACCTAATTCAGAGGGCTGTTGAGGGACTGGATTATAGGATTCGTCTACAGTTGACAGCATATTCGGGGTAGGCAGAATGCAGCCAAGGCTCTGGGCCTGCGATGAAGCAGCCGCAGAATACATGTAAATGCATCAGAGGCTCCACACTTGAAGCAGCTGTTTTGCAATTTAGACTAAAAAAAAAAAAACAGCTAGAAGACTAATTACTCCACCCTTCCCTCCTTGCTGCGCCGTTATGCAAGTCCCACTATGAGACATTATCCCTGAGGTGTCATTAACACCAGTAGGACAAGCGTCCTGTTGGACAGTCCACCATAAATCTGTAATCTGCACGGAACGCTGTCTATGGTTAGCCTGGTGATGGCAGCTCGTCAGGGAGCAAGGTCCGTCTTTTCCATCTTCCACGCCCGCTATTCCCGACACGGGCTGGTGTAGCGCTCCCTTCCTAGCACGCATCCAGCCGACTCCTCCCTGCACACCGAGG